TGGAGGAACAGGCTGCCGAGCTTTTCTCTCTGCTGTCATAACCCTTGTACACCCATCAATACAGTGGAGAGCCCCACCGACACAGGAGGCCGCAGATCAGGCTGACTAATCTAAAACAGCCCCTCTACCAAGCTATCCTCACAAACCTTACACCTCCCTAACCTCCCATTTATCCAGTAAGAAGAGTCAGGTTACTATGTGAAACAGACAATATATGTGCATGTACATGTATGTGTGTAAGTTGTGTGTGTGTGTGTGTGTGTGTGTGTGTAAGTGTGTGTGTAAGTGTGTGTGTGTGTGTGTATGAGAGAGAGAGGGAAGATAATATTTTATCCTGTCAACTGTGTCAGTTTAACCCCAGTGTGTGTGATTTGTGACTTTAGTCACACCTCTCTCAATTGGAGTGAGCAGCCCCCCACCCCCCCAGCCTTGTGTGCAGCATGTCTGTGCATGTGCATTAGTCTATGTTGTGTGTGTGTGTGTGTGTGTGTGTAAGTGGACGAAGGAGGCAGTGGAATGAGTAATAAAGTGTCATTGAACTTATGTTTGCTCCCACTGGTGAGGGTCACAACCTCAGTTCAGCCAAGCTCACTGAGGGGTTTACGCAGACTTGAAGCCCCACCTCCTCTCCCATGATGCCTCTGTTGCATTGGCTTCTGTAACTATATGGCTGTGTTAAAAATCATTCAGTATTCAATATAGTGCACTACATAGTGTGTAATTAGTGTTGTCCAAATGTGTAGTTAGAATTATTACATCCTGTATAGAGGGCACAAACTATCAATCGTTTTAGCTGTAATGTCAGGTGAAAGGAGCTCACTCACAGTGACAAACCCACTGACAATAATCAACCCTTAACCTCTCTTAGCTCATTGTTTTAGTTTTACCAACCCCGTTTCCAGCAGCAGCAGGTAGCTGTTTCAGCAGACTAGTCAGAGAACAAATCCGAGCATAAAGACTTTATACAAAAAACAATTAATGCACATTTCAAAAGTTTGTTGTTGTATACTGATTTTACAGGATAGTACAATAATGGATTTGCTTTTAGTTTTTAAAATGGACAGAAAACCCCATGAATATGTTTTCCAGAAAAGGCTGTTGAAAGAAACCTTCCAATAACGGTCCAGTGAGTAACATTTCGGAGGATCTTTTGGCAGCAATGGAATACACATAACTATGTTTTTATTAGTGTAAAATCACCCACAGGTCGCCTTCCACAGAGGCCACCATATTGAACCACAGTGTTTCTACAGCAGCCCAGAAAAGACAAACCAAATACTGGCTCTAAATGCTAGTGCACTAGAAGCAAGATAGGGCTGCTTATGGGACCCTCAACCCTTACCAGTTCTCCTCTCCTCCCACCATCACCATCACTCATGGGGTATGTTCCCTAGTCGTGGTTGTTAGAATAAACTGCTATTTAGGGGCTGCCTCTCCTCTGGGTGTAGTATCTATATGGCCAATGATGTCTTTTCAGACCCCAGAGTCAGATCTGCTCCTCTGTTTATTACCCAGGGAGATGGTAGCTGTTTATATAGGGGCAGATCCCTCTGTGTCCAGGGACAAAGAGAGAGAGAGAGAGAGAGAGAGAGAGAGAGAGAGAGAGAGACTCTGAGAAGGAAGGAAACAGAGGGGCGGTACCGTGAGAAGGAGCCAGTCCAGAGATGTAATTGGTACCTTTCCTTTTTTAGAAAACATTTCTTACTTACAGAGGTCCAGCAAATGAGTCAGGGCGCAGTATGCTTTATAACAACACTCAGACACTCACATGGTTTATCATACTGTCTCTTTGTAGTTTTCACTTTGAAGAGGGTTTGAGTTTCTCCTTTCTCTTTGATCCTCCATGTGTTAAGCTATGATGTTAGCTACTGGTTATGTGCATGACAAAAGAGCACAGCCACCATCTGGTGAAAAGGAAATGAGAGATCCTCATTTGTGAACATGTTATTTTTTCCCCAGTTTATTTTGTAGATATATGCTCTAAAATATTTTAGCTTAATGTATAGCAAGCTGACTTGTGTGGTCTTTTATTCTATCTCCCCCCCATTCATTCACTTACCTCCATCTGTTCTCTTCCCCTATCACTTGCCTTGTTTAGTTCAGGTGATAACTCAAAATGGTCTGGGACTCTTCAAAGAGCTGGCAGGGGTTAACAAAAAGATGAGAGAGGAAAGGAGAGAAAATAAAAGAGGGAGCAAGAGATATGGTTGGCTGACTCAGACTGTGATAAACATCTTGGTTTAAACTGCAGGTGTGAAGTGAGAGGGACGGCAGAAGACAGGTGGAGAGGGGAAGACCTGTCAACTCACCGCTTATAGCTTGCTGCTGCTTTCACACAAACAAACACAAAACAAAAATCTTTGAGATCAATATTTATATGTTAATATGTCAAACATGGGAGGATGTTTATGCAATTAAGATATAAAGTACACTTTTGCAAATGTAATTTACAACTACCACAAATATTTTATATAAAGTGAAACAAAATATGTCAAAAGTTAAATTATTACACAGTCTTAAAATGAAACAGCCTGCTATCAAAATTCAAATAAATTTTGGGGTATTTATCAAAAAACATTTACAACTAAGTAGGAAGACATGTTTGTTGATGTGTGTGTATTTGTGTGTGTATGCACACAGATTCAGCACCTGGAACAACAATGGCTTTGAGCAGCTGTATGATTGTGAAGTAGAGCTGAGCAGCAGCAGGACACCACAGTGTGTTATTAAGGTCACAGTCAGCTCCGTCTGAGTCCACAAGAATTACACCAGGCCGCTCTACTGCTCCACTTTTAATGACCAGTTGTGGCAAAAGATCAGTGGACATATAATTGCAAATGTCATAGACATAGTTGTAATAAGACAGAACTCAAAATAGCATTTCAAGACCAGCGGTGTGGCAAATCATCTTACATTTAGCATGATCAGTTTTCATTGTGAACTTGTAAAAGTGCCACAAGGAGAAACTATTTCAGGCAGCATTACATAAAACAGAGCCTTTCCTTTTTTACAGATTAAAGAAAACAAAATACAGCACATGGATGCAATTAAAGGGCCAATTATGTCAAAACTGAATGACTTATCCACTCTGATGAAGTGCAATTGCAAAGGAACAATTTTCTGGTTACTCATGCAGTCGTATAATCTCGGCACGTGGATTGCGTTAGCGGTAAAAGAACACCTGCTTGACCTTGAAATGCTGTAGGCATCCGTCTTCACCCGTTTCTCTTGTGTAACACTTGTACCACCTTTTTTTCTCTCTATGGATGGAGCATTTTCTGGGATGTGCTTTAGTCACTGGCAGAAGGTGTCAGCAGTTTGTTTCAGTCCCGTGAAAAAAAAGCCTGAGGCCTCAAGAGGAAGCAGCTGCTGAGAAATGAACATTGGTTAGAAGGATAAGCCTACTTGAGTTCGACTTCCCTCTGGGACTGTTCCATTAACACCATGATAGATTTATGAGCCTCTTGACATCCATACCCTTTGTTTGGTCATTTTAGGGAAAGTAAAACAGGTGGATGTGCAGGCATTTTAGAAACAACTTTTAATGATCTTGTCTCCTCCAACAAAACTCATGTCTTGCTTGTTTGGTTTTGGTAATGATCCTGTTTTCTCAAAGAACAAACCTTTTAAAATTCCAATTACATTTTCCCTGCCAAGATAAAACAGTGCATATTGTGCCACGGCACCATTAAAACTCAAGACCTGGCAACAGATGTGTCTGAATCATTTTGAGAGGTGAGATAAAAGGGGATTAAATTATGTTGATCATGTTTCATTTTACTTTGTTTATCTGCCTTCGGAGAGCTCTTTCCAAACAAGCACTCTCTGTGTTGGCTCACGGGAGGAAAATTCCTGCGCTTTCCAGAGGAACCCTAGGTAACATGACCAGCTTTGGAACAAGATAGCACCGATCACTGTCACTGTGTTAGCAGCACAAGCATCCCCCATACCACTCACTAGCACAAAGCTTATGTAAGGCATTTGACGTTGATGTGCCTGAGCCGTGGCTGTGTGTCAGTGGGTTCAGTGTTTTCATGTGCATGTGTACAGTATGTGTGTTTAATTTTCCATGTAGTCACTGCCCTAAAGTCTGGGACTTACCAACGGGTCTGGACCTGCTCTCCTCACTTCCAATTCAGCCTCATGGGCTGCCAGTAATCCCTTGAGTACTGAGGGAGAGGGGTGGGGCTGGCAGGGTGGGGGTGGGGGTGGGGATGGACGAGGTGCAAGGAGATAGTAAAAAAAATATGGTGTGCATCCCTACAGGTAAAGGCAGTGCCAATAACGGACTGTGTGTCCGGGAATTCTAGTGTTGGCTTAGCCTTCGGTGAAGCCCAGCAGGGCTTGCTGCTCTTCTTCAGTCAGTCCATACTCGTCCAGAGTAAACAGGCATCCTGTGCTTGCCTAGAAGTAGACCACACACCTGGCATATGGCATGCTTTTCCACTGGCAGATCTCTCTCCTGACATTGGACAGTCATTGCTAAGTGCATAACCTGGTTTTATAAAAATTTGCTGAAAGAAGCATGATGTGCACTCTCTGCATGAGGTATATCCCATCAGCAAAGGATTACATGAGAGAGGTTTACCTAGAAGAGTAGCCCTACACTAAAACAGTGTAGGAGAAATAGGAGGTGTGTATATCCTGTATATCAGTGTTGAACTACAGCCTTAAACTCAATCAGACTGCTCTAATTATCCAACTTACACAGTTACAGTTTTATACAAAGTTACAGTTTTAACCAAAGGTGTTTTACCTAAACCATACCCTTAACGTCATAGACCAAAACATGCCCTACACTTACAACACAACACACTAGGTGTGTTTCAGTTTGTCAAATGTTCTTTCCCCTTGCCGTAATTAAAAACACACAAATACACATTCATGCGCTGACGTGTAAAGGGAAATACACACACACACCTACACAACACAGCTCTCTGACAAGTGGAAACATTGCGTGTGGTTTTATTTTGATTATAAAAATCTCCCACTCTGACATGATAATTTAACATCAATGTTTATTTTTTGTATTTTTTTTTATATTTACAAATGCAAATTTCAAATGTTAAGTGCACTATAAAAATATGGTAAACTGAAAAAAATAAAATGTGTTGGTTTTATTCCTAAAACAAATGATAGACGTTGAAATAATTATTGAGTTGTGCAAATAGCCATACACTTAAGATGAAAGTAAAAACCTGTCCTGAAATAAAAAGCAATAAATTTAATCTGAAAATCTAATTTTCTATGGTGATTTTAAAACATTAAGAAAACAAACAGCAAATCTATGTCTTAATTTTGAATTTCTTTCCTAAAACCAACACCACAACCACATCCCCTGACCCTCACCATCTAAAGACAACAAGTTGGCTATGAATCCTGAGAGGGATAGAAACATGATGTCACCACTTTCATAACCACTCTAACTTTTACTCACGGCTGTGACAGCACAGGAAGCTTCATAAGGACAAGCTGGCATTCAATTATGAACACAGACATAGTGACAAAAGCATTGTATAAATCACGTGGGTTGAAAGACAAACAAAGCAAGAAAAAACTGATGGACGGTTCCTGGGAAACGTTGCTCGGTTGGCTGACAATTTCAGCCTCTCAGTCAGAGGGAGTTTCCCCAGGTCGGACTGTCCCTGTGGTTGTCTGATGTCCTTTACGGTGCAACGCTCTCCAAAAACACCTGTGGCATTGTCTTCCAGGAAAACCCCAACAACCACTTTTCCATACCTGGGATTTAGCACCTTTAACTGTGGCCTCTTTAACACGATGATATGGCAAATTTAAATGTCCCAGACAATCATTGTGAAAACAAGAGTGTTCTTCCATCAAGGTCATTTTGGTCCATATGTTCTTTGGTATCCACCTTTTTTTGATAATAACAAATCATTTTAATCCTTTTCCACGTCAAACTGACACACTTTTATACATCTGTCCCTCCAACAAATAAATTAATTCATTTCAAGACAGATATTTTTTACTACTGCAAGGTAAAAAGTATATACACATAGAAAATATTATAGATATAAAGAAGTCCATGGACTGATGTGCGTTCAACATGACAATGGAGGAAAGGTGGATTACAAAGATCCTGATGACTTGAAGTATTCTGTTCCCCTTGTCCACATTATTCTTGTCCTCTTTATTTCCGTCTCATGCTCCTCTCTGTGGTCCATCTCTGTATGTGTTTGAGGAGAGGCAGAGCAGTGTGCCACGCTGTATTTTTAGCTACACTTGCAGGACTTCACAATCATATTGGACAGCTGCTCCACCTGAAAGTGAAAATCAACAGTAATGTGATAAATCATCGTTAAGTGTTGCTTTCACATAAAATGTTCTGTAAACATTTCACCTCAGAATGAAAGTGACTTGGCTGCGGTATAGATACCTTGTGTTGCCTGCCCACATAGTAGAGGATTGGCAGTGGCTCCAGTGTCTGGGGAACACAGCAGGGCTGGGCAGAGGCTCCTGGGTTGTGATGCTTATACAAGGCCAGAATCTGTTAACAATTATATGAGGGAAAGACATGAAAACAGAGAACTCGGCTCAGAATTTCATCACCGAAATTACATGTGCTAAAGCGACTGTAAAAGACAATGGATTTATGAGTTTGAGTAACGAGGGTGCTTTCGTTAAAACCGAGCTACAAAGTGTTGCATCTTGAACAGTGATTGCATTTAAATTTATTGTTAAAATGTTTGTATATTAAACAACCAGTGTGTAGGATTTAGAGGCATCTTGCGGTGTAATTACAGATTGCAACTGATTTGTTTCACCCTCCCTTTCCAAGCGCGAGGGAGAAACTACGGTGGCAGCGAAACACAAATGGCTCTATCTAGAGGCAGTTTTTGGTCCATTCTGGGCTACTGTAGAAACATGGCGGTTCAACATGGTGGCGTCCGTGGAAGGCAACCCAAGGTGCCTGTAGATAACGAAAAGGCGACGATTCTTATGTTCATGTGATTATTCCCTAATGAAAACATACCTATGAATATTGCATGTTACACACTGGACCTTTAAAGCATTCCCTAATTATTTATTTATTAAAGGTTTTGCTTTAAGGTGCAGTAAATAGTTTCAATAAGTGTTGTTTTAGAGTATGAAAATGCTCAGAGACACTGTATTTCGGCACCAGCTATGATGCTGAATTTTAGCAAGTATGATGTTTACCTTGTTCACCATTTAAGTTATTTTTTTAAGTTAAGTAATTATTGCTAAATGCAAAGCACAGCTGAGGCTGATGGGAAATACGTAATTAGTTTTCCAGCTATTTGGACGTCTTCAAACGTTGAGTTTTGTCCACAATCCAAAGATATTCAGCTTACTATCTGTCTGACTGTCATAACTTTTTGTTCCTTAGACAATTGCTCAGACCAATTAATCAATCAATGTAGTTGGCGATTCATTTAGTATAACATTATTTAAAAGAGTAATCATTTTCTAATCTCACGTTTGAGAAATGAGTGAATGTTTGGCTTTTTTTTCTCAAGAAATGACTCAAATGATTGATCATTTATAAGAATTGTTAATTTTCTGTCAACCAACTAACTGATTATCATTTCAGCAACCCATCAAGTTGTGAGAAAGCGTTGTTTTGAGCTGCCAAACCTTCTATGACTGTATCTTATTCAGTCATGCAGTCAGGTGTGGACTGCAAAGTACGGCGAGATGTTGCATTATACCTGAGAATATTTGTTTTCAGCGTTCCAGATGTAGGTGCAGGACCCCATGCAGTAGTTGGCATGGTAGCCCGTTGGCTTATGTATCCACTTCCATCCCAGATCTTTCCTGAAGTCGATGTACAAGCTCCGCACGCAGCAGGTCTCTGTCTGGCTGCATGAGCAGAAACAGGAAACATCTTTTTTTAAGTGTGTGATGACACGGCATAGGAGATTTTTGGAGCATAGTTGCTGTACAAGGCTCACTTTCAAAATTAGTCAGTTTTAGCTGCACTAAAGGGTTTTAATGTAAGATGACACACCAACCAGTGTATAGCTGTGTAGATTGACAACTCCTTAGATTAAAAAACCCTTAAGATTAACTCTATTTACCTAAATGTCTGAAGAAACATCATAGTGACAAATCAAAACTGTGTAAAATGTGTAAGATACAATAATAAGGTAAAATACAAGTTGTCTCCTTACAGCACTGAACTAGTTCTCCAGTGCGGCCGAGGCCCAGAAGGAGTGGGTTGTGGGTTTGACACCCGCTCCTACTAAGGTCGAACAGCACTGCACAAATGCTGTCCATTAACCATATAGCTATTAAAATTATTTGTCAAGAGGCTTAAACAGGAGTAGTAATAGTGTTTTTCACTGTCACTGACTTTTGAAACTGCCAGTGGGTTAGGTTGCTTAGTCCAGCTTAAAAAATGTCTAATTAAGAACTCTTATTTGGGCTTGAAGTAAAATACAAAAGAACTGTGTGATATGTGCAGGATTGCTTACGCTGTACAGACATCCTTCGTCTCCGTGGAGCGTTTTTTGCGTGAGGTGTTTGGGCTGCTGATGTTTTGAGGGATGGACATGGTCAGGATGTAGGGTGGTTGCTGTGTCATCTTCTGTATCGTCTCTGTGTCTCCCCTACCAGGGTCAGTCCCAGAGATGGAAAATTTGAAGACAGTCTCACCAGCAGTTACTTGGTTGCATTCACAGAACAGCCGAAGTTGGAAACGCTGCTCATCATCTGGTAAGACAGAAATTTTCAACATTTAACAACTGGAAACTAGTTGGTTACTTTATCTGTGAGGTTAAATATCATTTGAAAATGGTCATAGTAGCACCAGATAATTGAATAAAGCTTGTTTTATCTCACCAGTCCCTTTGAGCCAGTTCTGCAGGGTCTCTGTGACATCAAAGGACAGCCATTTGCCTTTCCACTGGTTAGTGATAAAGCGGGAAGTGAGGTAGCGAGGTGAGTCACCAAGACCGCTGTACAGCTCGACACGCTGCTCATTAGGTATCATGGTTTTCTTTATGAGCATGCGTAGCTCCGCACTGGTCAGCAGGCGGTAATCCCCCACACTTGCCCGTATCTCCGAGATGTTGAAGTACATTTGAATGATTTTCTTGGTGGTATCTGAGTTATTTTTTCCTGTGTGATGTAAAAATGGAATTGCTTATTAGGATATTTTAATAAAACTTTTTTGCACAAGAAGACATGTTCCAGGTGATACACTAATGAGAAAACTTTATATAATATTCCATTTATCCTAAAAGATCCTCCATTACACACAGGACCTTTAAGAGTTCGAACTTTTGGGTGTCTTTGTCTTATAGAATTTGTAATTTTATAAAAAGTAAAAAACAGGGACACATAGTATATAATCGACCATCATCGCAGTGGTGGAGCTCTGGTGTGTTTTTGATAGTTGGCAGACCACAGTTACGGTCTATAACACTGTAAGTACTGTACGCTTTATATCTCTTGGCACAAGAACGTCTGATTTTTAAACTAATAAAACATGAGAATGAGACAAATGGGTGCTCTAAGGGAGCAATTAATGTACACGAGGTTCAAAGAGTCAGGTCCTTAAACTTACAAGTTCAGGTTATTTTAGCTATCAAATGTTTTCCTGCATTACACTATATTCAAAATTCATCATTATCATACACGTATGTATTATATTTGCACACGTGTACATACAACAGTGCAATTTACTACATAATGTTATGGTTAGATGTTCATTATTTTAATTAATAAATCTCATGAAAAGTTTTTTTATAAATGTTGTATGTCTATACACACATTAATAAATTCAAAGTGTTACTCAATAATCTTAACTGCAGCCAAACATTCATCTATTCCAGCTGCTGTAAAGTTGACCATAGAGAGTGTTTTGTTTTCTTACAGTATCCCTGCCCATATTTACAACATTTATTCCTGTGCCTGCCCATATCATGACAGCAGGAACATTCCCCATGCAGAGCCTGATACAAAACAGAGCCAAGCTACTGAAGGCTTTAACACCATAAATCTAGCAGCTTTACATTACAAAGGATTAAGTTGGAGACGTGCAAAGATAAGCGCAGGAAGGCAGATGATCGAGAGTGAAACACCATGTAGAAAGAGAGAGTGAGAGAAGATGTGGGAGGGGTTTTTAACAGGGTACATGCAAAGAAAACAGCAAAGTGAAGAATGCACTCATGAATATAGCTCACAGTTGTGAGGGTGTGAGTGGGGGTGCAGAGAAATTGGAGATGTGTATCAGTGGAGCCCGAGTCTGGCCCAGACCCAAAACTTCTACTCTGCCTCAGTCTGCCAAAGCCAGGATTCTCTGCTCTCAAATCCCGGAATTACTCTTTGACAGCAGCTACAACCCAGTCTCGCATACTTGAGCTGCTTAGTCGATCCAGGCTGTACCAAGATCCTCCATGTCACGGCTGCTTGTGTATCATTTACCAGTATCACCATCTGTGTCGTTGCATAGGTAGTGTTTCACCCCCTTGTAGTGAAGCCAAACTGAAACTGAAAAGAGCTGGTGTGGCGTGTAAAGGGAAATGAGATGACATTTTACTGGTCCCACCCAGAGCAGAGTCAAATATTTGGTTGTAAGTGCAGGAATGGAAACACAGAGCGTCACAACAGTGTACAGTATGTTGAGAGCAGTGAACTGGCAATGATGTACCAAGCAACACCAAGCACGGAAAGTCTTCGTCTCCAGCTAGTTTGAGTAAACTGAGATAGATGTGTTACAGGGTAAGAGAAGTGTTTACGAAACAGGAAATTACGTCACTTCTCCTTAGAAGCATATTGTACCATGCAGTACCATAATTACAGTAAAGCTTTATCCACTTCTACTTTTTAATGAACACAGCTTGCATCGTCTCCGTGCCTAACCGTTCTAAAAATCAAAATATAGACAATTTGTAAAATTGGTAGTGGTAGAGATCCAGATAAAGATAAAGATAGCAATCTAGCCTGCTCACTAACATGGGTGTGTATCTTTATCCCTATCTTCCAGATAGGGACCAGATAAAGATAGCGCCCTGGCCTGCGTACTAACATGGGTGTGGGGGGGATTTGTGTGTTGAATCAGGGCCTATCCACAGGTAAGCCGGGGACAGCTGTTGTGACAGGTAGGGAGACAGCTATGTAATTACCAGTGGGAGGAACCAGATTCCAGCAACAGCCTAAATACCTGCCTCTTTCATACACTTGGCTCCACCCTCGCACAGCCCACTCGTCGATGTCTTGTTGCCCCACTCACCCTGTTTTATATATACTGTCTGACCCCTGTTGCTCCTTCCTCGTCCTAGGGAGGCAGCACCTTAATATACTCTTAAATACAATAATTACTCAAGAGCACTGAACACATTTCACTCCCTAATGACACAAAGTGGCTGGTTTCCAAAGGAGAAAAGAGTTCCCTCCGCAAACGAGCTGAATTACATTTGGACCAATACCATGTTAAATGGGACGGATGTGACTGCTAACTAGCTGAAGGTATTTTGCCTAATCCACAATACAATTACCATAATGGAGACTAAAACGTAGAGTTCTAAAATGCTTTGCACATAAATATGCTTCCCTGCAGGCTGTTTTGGGGTATCAGGAAAGTGTGAGTCGTCCAATAAAAAACACCACAAATTGAAAATGACGAATAGGATTGTTAATGAATATAAAAAAAAATTAGTTCTCCAGTTGGATTCTATTTTAATTGCTTTGTTTAAACACAGCAGTCCTCTGTGTTTTACTTCTCCCAGAAGAGCAGAAGCTGGATTGCCTTCCACACCCCTTATGTGTGGTTTTTTTTAATAATTGCAAAACATTTCTTGCTAGGCTACACATGTACACTCATACACTTGGCGTTCACCCTTTCCCAGTGTGTGGAGGTTGAGTTTGTTAAGGAGTTGTGCTGAGGGTTAAGACAGTGGATGGGTGTTCTCTGGCATTCCACTGAGGTAGGAAACACATGCTCCCCATGGGCACCGCTTGCACCGGACCTGAGTCACTCAAGATCTCAGTGGCCATCAGCCTGCCTTCCTTCCTGCCAAGCTGCCCTGTCAAAAACATGCTGCAAACACTCTGATAATAAGCTCAGGAAACCCAGCAGAGAGAGAAACGTGAGGGAGGGAGAGAGAGACAGACAGACAAGAGACGGGTACTCATTGGCAGAGAGACATGAAAACAAAATATTAAATGGTCAGGGAGAAAGAGAAAGAGATGTGATGGAGAACAAGTGACAGGATAAGCAAGGGAGAACCCAGTACTCAAGTTACAGGAAACCCCCAATCCCTGAGGGACAGAGAGAGAGGAGAGAGAGAGAGAGAGAGAGAGAGAAAATGAAAGAAAGAATGAGACAGGGTGAGGGTGAAAGAGTGCAATTCATGTCCTCTCTCATTTAATTTTTTCAATTTTCCCTCCTGTTCTTTGGTTTTCATCTAACCAGAACAAAATCATGCCCTTCGTTTTGAAAGTTCCTTTGTTCTCTCTTTGGTCTGCACACTCCTGAGCATGGTCCATCCACTCAAGTCTGTCTTTTGAAGTGGTGGATAAAAGAGGGGATAGTGTGGATGCCTGCCTGATAGGGTGAGGAGTATAGGCATGCAGAGAACAATGGAGCAAAGAAACAAATCTTTAAAAAAAAATCTGTTTATCATAATAGTTTGGGAGTCATTGCACAATTACAGCCAAAAACCATTTGGCTGAACAAACAGCATATGCAGGGTAGCCAAACAATGCTAATAAAGCTGTAAAAATGCCATGGATACCACGAAAGCAACACAGAGCATCATACCAGATGCAACACAATGCTGCTAACTTGTAACGCCTGTGATCCCTGAACTCCTCAAGCTGCCTGAAGATGTTGGACGGAGATCAGAAGGTGTACTCATGTTGAGGGAATTTATGGACAGGATTGGAACTGACACCAGCCATCGGGCAAATGTTGGTTAATTTGGGCTGTAGCCGCTAAATTTCTACCCCAGTGAGTGCTTAAAGCTTATTACCTCCACCATGGAGGTTATGTTTTTGGTTTACAGAAAAAACTACAGGCCCAATTTTCATGAAACTTGGTGGAAGGGTGTAGCATAGGCCAAGGAAGAACTTATTCAAAATGATTTTTCACTTTCATTAACATTGCAAGACATGTAGATAATTGTAATACCGATATAGGGGTTACACTTGCAGATTTTTTCTTTGGTATTTGGTACATTTATGTACAGTTTCATCCAAAGAGCACCTGTTGATTTCCTTCTACTTTAATAACTGTTAATATAAGATCTGAAAAATGAACCACTTTTTGCCTGTAAATGTAGGAGTATAAATAACAGTCATACTGTTTTCTTTACATTCTCAGTCACGTAGTTAAACCATCAATGATTGTCTCAGTTCTTGCCAATGGGTGTCCATAAGCGCACAGTACACCGCTGATGTATTGCTATCATTTGGTACTCACTGGTCATGTTGAACTTGTGCAGCACCTTGGCGAAGTACTCCTCCTCCTCCTGTTCTGTGGAGATGTCTGTCTGGACCTCAGTCTGCTGCTCCTTCAGCATCTCCTTGGTGCTGTTGTAGAGGGACAACAGGGGGGTAGGGATCTCCTCCTCGTCTCCAGCCTGATCCGGCTCAGGCTCTTTGGGCAAACGCAGTTTGCTAAGGATCTGGCTCCTAATGGCTTCAATGCGCTTTTTCTTAACCATCTCCAGGTCCAGCGTCTTACATGTAGACATACCACTTACGTTGCCCACTGTGTACACAACCATGAGCATCAAGAGCGCCAGCTTCATGGTGCCAACTGGAGTGTTTGCAGCTACTTATGCTCTTTGGTTCTTAGCAAATCCTCTCTCACCTTTTCTTTCACTGCCTGCCTCCAACCGGGGATGCTCAGGGAACAGTGAATCACTCCGTGGAGAGGTGTGACTGACGCAAGGTGTTTACACACAGCAGAACAATTAAAGCACTGTGGAGAGTCCTGAAAGTTCAGGGTTACTGGTGCCACAGCTGTCGCTGCTGCTGTGAAAACCACCTAACACTTGTGTCTTCTTTGCATAGAAACAGGTGGAGAGAATCCCAGTGGGCAGACAGACATCGAGTGATGAGCCAGCCTCTGACTCAGCCACACAGGTAACACAATGACGTCTAAGACACTGAAGTGATTCCAGAGTTGAGCTGTCAAATGCTAACAGAGTCCAGCCAAAACATGCACATAGCCAGCACCCCCAAGGCTCAGAAGACCTCTCCAGCACCCATCAGTCCAAAAATAATCCACCAACACTCAAATACTCAACAGATCTGGCTCTGAACTCACAGATCAACTGGTTTCAAGCCTCCACCTGCACTACTGAATTTGAATCCTGTCTTACTCGAAGCAAGTATACTGTATACACTTCCACGTGTCAGCTCACTGCTGTCTTGCTCACCAGGCAGTCTCTCTTTACATGTCCCCGGAGATCAGCCGAGCGAATGTGAAGGCAGCTGTATAACACTCAGCAAAATGAAGAGCGGTGTTGGAAGAGCTCAACTTACTTACTATCTTTTCAGCTGACACAGCTTCCTGTCCCACAAGGTCTCTCCCCAGATCATTCAGGGCTATTGAACACGTATGTGATGTCAAATAGGCCCTCTCTAAATGTGTTTAAGGAAGAGAAAATAGCAATGATACGTCCTGTGCTTAAAGTGGAAAAGAGGCCCTCCTATTTCTCTGTTTTCTGTTTTTTGAAGTTTGATCAGATGACCTCTTGCTTCCTTTACAGCCCAGATAAAACTCTCAGGGGCTTTGAGTCAGCCCGGAGCTAATCAAATACCCACAGTGCAGGGGAAGATAAGATAATGTAGTATATAAAAGTCTCACTTTCACTAACTTATCCCTTACTCCAGTCACTTATGCAGTCAAGCCATCAATAAACGTCCCTACAGAAAAACATCTGATAAACTTGTATCGCTATCCGCTCTGACTACCTCTTTCTTTAGAAATAACAGCATGTGATCTGAGTACAGCTGCAGTTCACCAGAAAATGCTTTCAACACCTCCGACTCGTGCCTACTTCACACAAAGATCAACTGTCTTTGTAACTGTTTCTTCATTCTTATACACAATAATCGCCTTCTGTCAATCACAAACACTGTCCTCATGTAACCAAAATGTTAAAGTTGGACACACCTTCTCTTTAAATGAGTGTACCATCCAGACACAGCAGCAGTAACGACAGCAGTAGCAGGAGCAACAGTTCCTCTTTTCGTTCCTGTTTTGGGAATCAGATTGCAGTCTGGTCTCTGTCCTCTCTTCCCTCTATTCATCCATCGGTATCACCTCTTTTATGCCCTCTGCAGCTCCTTCACACCTTCCCTCTTGAGTCGCCTCTAACACAACTCCCTATTCCCACCTTTATTTAACTCCCTGTCTCTCTTCCTTTCTTTCCTGTGCGCGCTCTCTCTCTCTCCTTGTACTTGTCAGAGCTTGCTGGTGACAAACTGATTTGTGGGAGCTCTGAGCTCAGCTAACTTCTCTCTCTCTCTCTCTCTCTCTCTCTCTCTCTCTCTCTCTAAAACTCTTCTTTTTTTTCTGGTTCCTGTTAGCTTAATACAGAGAGCAGCTCTCCGCCCAGGAAATGAGGGTAACGGCCGCAGTGTAAAACATCTGCTGTTTAACAGAGCTCTGCTGCCTGCCCTGTGTCCACATCAGGAAGCCAGGAGCTGAACACACTGAATAACTGCTCTCTCACACTCTCTGGCCTGTCTGCCAGTGAGGCAGTGATGACTGACATGTCAACAAGCCTTGCATGGCACTAGTGTCTTGCCAAACTGACAGAAACATTTACCCAGTGGCTGCGAAGGTGAACGCCTGCCTAAATGTCTAAAAGTAGAACGGTGAATGTGAAGGGGATGGAGAGCCAACAGGGCTGAGCTGTGTGGTGCACTGTCCTTGGTCTGGGTTACTCTTTTAGAGGGTTAGATTGTGTATTTTCAAAAGGAAGGCTTGACTAAAACAAAGCACCGATGGTTTCAATCATTTTGTCTCTGTCTGAGGGAAGATTCAACAGGGAAGTAAAGATAGTAAATTACCATTGTGCAGTCTTTGGTCTTGGAATTTTTTAAGGTTATGCCCATATGTGTTTCCCATGGGTTTCTATTTTGTTCCATTCACCAGGACAGTTAGGAAGAATGAGCCATTCATCAAACACCAGCAATAAATGGTGACATTTACCATAGGGAAACTCTAGGTAAAAATCCCCTAAAGATACTAGCAATAATAACAACAGAAAACAATGAGATACAATTGATAAGTTGTCCCACGGTATCAGATGCACTATATATCTGATTACTGTTAATGATAAAAGGGTGAGAAGAAAATAAGTGTGACTATCACATGTCAAGAACTATTACTGTAACGTGTCCTGTTGTGTTGGCCTGTAGGGAACTTTGATGTGTGTGCGCTGCCACCTGCTGGTCAAAGGACGATACATCACTTATAGGAGGAATAGTTTGTACATTTATTTTTGATCTACAATTAAACTTTTTTCGCACAAAATAACCGTGCAGTATAAGATGTACACAACCATTATAACAGTAGCATATATTAGAGTCACAACATAGATCTTCTTCCTGTGTCATACTGTCTGGGATGTAAAATAACAGTAAAATTAGAGGACAGAATTCTTCCACGCAGCCTCAGTTTTCTTTTTTTTAATTAACGTAGTAGTTACGCGTTTGATTAAATCAAAGATTACGAGCATTTCCTCTTACACTCTTAGCCAGAGATGAAATTAGAAGGTATCTGAGCACAGTCAGATAAAGGAAATAGGACTATAATATAGGAAGCCACTGAACGGATATCGTGCTAAGTGTTCTTGTAATGCAAATAAAACCTGGTTTAAAATCCCAAGTAAATGTTCTAACCTATCTTCCCTGCTCCCCATTGGTCTTTTAAAACACATGCATGGGGCCTCTGAACACAGCAACCTCTTACTGACCCCGTACAAAGCCAGCGAGTCTTACCAGTCTGCCATGGGGCATTTCATACCCTCCACCACAAGGCCTTGATGCCAGCACCTCAAGGTGTCTGTGTGTCTCTGGGTGCAACACAGTCTGCTTTCCCATCATTCACTGTGAAGTCCTGAATGATTCTCCGTGTGATTCTGCCGAGGATCCCAGAGAGCCTCTGAGCCAGGCGAGCCGATGGGTGGACAAAAAAATATTCACAGTCAACAGATATGCTATAAATCTTATTACCACATCAGAGTCAGTCCTGCATACATTTCATATCAGTGGCAGAGTGACATGATGCTGTAGCTTCAGTCTCTGTGACTGCAAAACTATTGGATGGTGGAATAAGGCCTGGTCTAAAACTTTACATGGAGGAACAGCTCAGATATGGATTGTCTATTGCTGTATGGGTAAGCTTTTTAAGTACACAATTATATAACGGTGTAAAAATACGAAATTAAAAGTGCTGCATTCAAAATCTCACTCTCGCAAAATACAAAGAATACAATTATATCGTATGTAGTTAGATTATTATTGCATAAATGTGCAAGAAGCACTTTTTTGTAGCAGCTGAGCTCCTTTTGTCAAGTTGATCATTTTGGATCAGTTCAAAGTAGGCCTAACTATAACCTATGTCAACTTGAGTTAATACTAACTATAACCTATGTCAACTTGAGTTAATACTAACTATAACCTATGTCAACTTGAGTTAATACTAACTATAACCTATGTCAACTTGAGTTAATACTAACTATAACCTATGTCAACTTGAGTTAATATACTCACTTTCCACCACTGATTATAGGTAGAGTAAAAATCCATCATCTATTCTCCCCTGTCTCTCCATGATGGGCTTATTAAATGTTTACATTTGAATGATTCAACTGAGTAAAATTCAACTTTGGATCAATAAAATTGCACAGGCTACGTTTATTGGGAATGTTGCCATTATCATACACGTCCTCCTGAGATAACATTTATAGGATCAGTGCTGTTAAGACTACTAACACATATTTAAAATAACGTTAGCTGAAACCACCTTAGCCGTCGGCCAACTGTCTCCATGGTTACAGCGAACGTTTGTTCCCGTTGGACTGACGTAGCCGGCTTCGTGAATCGGCGTTGCTCTTTTTTTTTCTGCGCAGTTTCTAAGGGGGTAAGTTAAACATCGTAACTAGCGGCGCATTAACGCACTTCTCTTGTGTTTTTATGAATGTAACGTTAACGTTGACGTACGACAGCGTGAAACTCAAGCATGGAGACTTTTACATCGACTTAATTGGACGGAGCCGACGGGGAAACACTAACCAGAGAGAGGGGGTTACCAAGGTAGTGACGACGCGCAGGACCGTGGAGACAGCGGGGGGAGAGAGTAATAGCAGTAGCACAGAGAGAGAGAGAGAGAGAGAGAGAGAGAGAGGGAACAATAATACAAACGTTATGAAGTTTAACTCAGGGAGGCTGAGAGAAGTGGCTGCGCACTCATAGGCTACATGTAAGGTCAGCTTTGGACTGAAATCACCCGCAGGCTCGTTGCTGACTTGTCGATGAAGACCCTTTCTAATTGTGGACAGGTGAGTCTCACCTTCAGCCCTTCAGGTTGTGACACTTAACGAACTGTTATAGTTAAGTTTGTTTGTTAACCCTGCATGAGTTTGTTTGTCTACAAAAACCAAAACACATCTTCTTGGACTGTGGAATCACCTCTCAGGGTTACGACCTTTTCGAACAATAATAATCCTCTAATCAAGTTTAGGAACTATCTGTTTTAATGTTGTTTTTAATTTAGTGAGGTGGTGAGTTTGTTTGTTTTGTTTGCCCTTTTTGACAGGTGACAGCTACTAACTGCCCAATGGAGAAATATGAAAAGCTGGCCAAAATTGGTGAGGGTTCCTACGGCGTGGTGTTCAAATGCAGACACAGAGATACTGGTCAGATAGTTGCCATCAAGAAGTTTGTGGAATCTGAAGATGACCCGGTCATTAAGAAGATTGCACTGCGAGAAATACGCATGCTGAAGGTGAGAAGAGATTGGTATTACCCAATAGTATCAAGTTTGCTCACATCTAACACCACAGGTGGACACGTGTACGCACACAGGTACACATGCACTCATTAAGTTATATGATCTTTTTTTTTTTTTGGGGGGGGTTAGGAATGAGACATTATAACTATACACTCATAATTCATACACAAGGCGGTTTTAAAGAGCTTTACAGACACTTTGAAGGCACTGGAGACAATACGTAAAGACATACAAGCAAATAACAGGGTCAGAGCTGGGGCAGACCTTATCTGTAGGTTTTTATTAAATGTTTCATTCAATATTTTGTCCAATACTTTGGGCTGTTGAGCACCGACACGCTGTCACATCTTCTCTGTTGGCCCTGCAGCAGCTGAAACACGTGAATCTGGTCAACCTGCTGGAGGTCTTCAGGAGGAAAAGACGGCTCCACTTGGTGTTTGAGTTCTGTGAGCAGACGGTCCTCAATGAGCTGGACAAACACCCTCGAGGGTAGGTTGCAGGTTGCCTCGCAGTGGTTGAGACGTACAGCAGACATCGTCTTCGAGTGTTGTTTAGTAAGATCTGAGTGTACCAGTTCAAGCTCTCTGAGTTGCTCTGAATGAGAGCAGTGAGTTGTGGTACATACTAAAAGGCTATACATGGAAAATGTACGTTAATCGTTCACTTTCGGTGTTCAGAAGTGTGTCTGTTATCTATTTAGTTGGCACCTCTCTAAGAATTCATGACAAACATGCAGAATTAATTAATTGACAATTTTATTTACTTTTTTACTTTGCAGATTAGGATTGTACATAAAAAACCTATAACCAGTTAATAAAATATGATGCATTATTAAAGTTAAAATTAGCTCCCTTTAAACCAGCTACAACTTTAAAATGTTGCTCATTTGTTAAAGCGTCAGTAATCATCAAATAATGTAATTATATTAATGTAAGGCTGACAGGGGCCTTTCTTCTGCATAACGATTACTTTTACTTTTGATGTGTTAATTGCATTGCTAATAATACTTTCTAACCTTTACTTAAGCACAATTTGAATGCAGTAGGACTGTTGAAATGGAGCATTTCTACACTGTGATATTGTGACGCTTACTTAACTAAAGTATTTGAATACTTCTTCCATTAGTGCAAATGCAGGCTTTTCCTTGTAAGTTATGTGTTTAGCTTACAGCTTGCCACATAACTCACTGTGTCTATATTGATTTGTTAGTACTGCTTAGGAGTGAAGGCCAGCAGAAGAAAACGGGTGAATTACAAAGAGGGAGTTAAGACTGTTGCTAAGATGTGTGAATGATGGCAACATCGTGAGGGAGGAAGAGCCAAGTCTAAACCAAAATATCTCTTATTTAGGGAAAAGAGGTTCTTCTTTTTACTTCGTGCTTCTATGGTCACAAGATAACCTTTACAGTTTTTGTCATGTGAAGTCACACAGAAAGCCCGAGGCCACAATGACCATTTGCTGTCTGACCATTTTTCCTCGTCTCAGACGGCTGTGCAGCAGAAACTCTAGCTGCTCCTGAAAACAAAGGCACTGTTGCTGTTAGAGACAGGCCGAAGGTTACCCGGGTGACAAGAGGGCTGTGTTAAAAGCACCACTTCTTTTTTGAAATCGCTGGAATACTAGACAAGGAAAACACGAGCGCTAAATAGGTTTTGTTTGGTTCCTCTTACAACAATCAATATTCCTTTGTCTCTTGTCCTCTGCAGGGTACCAGAGGCTCAGCTGAAAAGTATAGTATGGCAGACTCTGCAGGCTGTTAACTTTTGCCACAAGCACAATGTCAGTATATTTCTTATCTGGGACTTAATTTAATGCTGTTTTTTTATTTTCATGCATTTATTCTGTGACTTTCTCCCACTTCGTTTTTCTTCTTTTCTGCCTTTCCTAGTATGACTACATTATAAAATATTGGGGGCAGCCTCAGATAAACTCTGACTTTTTTATGATTTTTGATTATCATATTTTTACAGAATGTGTATTTTGTCCACCATATTTTACAATGTAGATGGAAAGAATGAACGACTACAGGAACAAATAACTCTCTCAGCCTTCAGCCCCTGATTATTGTGTTAAGATAAACTTCTGAACATATCCTTATGCTCTACTGTTCTGCTTATCTTTATTTGTTTTGTCTCTCTTTAACCTTTCAATATCTGGTTGAGACCTAGTGACTGCAAATCCATATCCATATTTATTTCACCAGTATAATGAGATAATTATAATTATAATATTAGTATGTGGGTAGAATAAACCTTTAAAACTATAAATACTTGGATAAAGTAATATTTTAGTGGAAAACACCTTTAAAACTATAATAGAAAGTATTATTTCACTAGGTGGCGCTGTTGTGAACATATTATAATTGATTCTGCGTAGAATTGCATGATTCTGCTTCCTTTATTATGTGAGTGCTTTTTAGCTCCATCATTGGCTTACATATGCCATATCAAGTTATTATTAATCGATATATCAGGTAAATACTAGCGTGTGCAATAGAAATCTTGTAATATGTACCAATTTCCAGAACCTTGCATAACCAGCTTATATTTGACTAGCTCAGTTTTCAGTACAAAATGTTTGTCTCGAAGACTTTTGAGAATTGACTAAAGCTGTCCAGAAATTCGCAACCTTCTCAGATCACAAAACTTGTGAACAACGACTCTGACTAAAATAAAGTTTAATCCCAGAACACAAACTCCGACTTTGTTTGAACTCAATTCCCCAGAACAGGAATCATTTAAGTCTCAGTGACTGCAATACAGTGTTCTGTCTCAATACTGAAATGCCTATAGGTTTCTGATCTCTTGCTATTGTTCATCCACGTCCATTCCTAATCTGTCAGCCTTTAAAAAGCCTCTTCTCTTCTCTATTACTAAGAGACTGTGTATTGTGTTGCCACATCCTTGATCCTGAGCATTTATGTTGCAGTGCATCCACCGCGATGTAAAGCCGGAGAACATCCTCCTCACCAAAACCGGAGTCATCAAGCTCTGCGACTTTGGCTTCGCCCGCATCCTGAGTAGGTCATCCAGAGAGCCACTGCAATTATGTGCATTTAGTGTTAATGTGCCTCTAATGACTTATTCAACACAGAACCTATATCAGCTCCTGCTGATGTCCTCCTCACTTTCAATGTTTCAATGATTGCATTGGATAGGAGGACCATTCAGCCAGTTAGTGCGTCTCTGTGTGGTGTGTCTCTGTTTACCCTTCCTGCCTTAGGTTTCAGTGTTATGTTACCATACATTAACATGTAGTCATGTAGTCATTAAGCATGCCTTGTAATCCCTTCCTCTACAATGTACGTGTTATTTAGTGTTCATTATTCAGTATTTAAGTGTATGCCTGTCCTCTACAAGTTATCTCCATCTGTCTGTGTGTCGTAGCAGGACCAGAGGATGACTACACAGACTACGTAGCAACCCGCTGGTACCGGGCCCCTGAGCTGCTGGTTGGAGATACTCAGTATGGGCCTGCTGTGGATGTGTGGGCTCTGGGCTGCGTCTTTGCTGAGCTGCTACATGGAAATCCACTCTGGCCTGGGAAGTCTGACGTTGACCAGCTTTACCTCATCCGAAAAACTCTAGGTGCGCTAATAAAGGACCACATCACTGGATGCTTAAAAGAACTAATCTTCACATGGATGCACCTGCTCAAACTCACTTGCACTGCACTTGTGAAGGTCACTTACACAGATCGCATATTAAATTGCTTTCTTAACAGTTTCTTCAATTAGCTGATGGATTTCAACAGTTTTTAGATTCATACTGTGGTTGGTTTACTTTTCTTACATGCCACAAACAAGCTGCACCAGTTAGCTTGAAAGCAGACGAAGATCTACCTTTTTCAAGCATTTACACCAGTCTAAGCTAACTAAGAGTTTGTATGAACTGAATCAAACAGGTTAGATGTGAAAGTACACTAAAGAAACTTGACCTCTATTACAGTGGACTTTATGGGTATAGAAAGCAAGCCTTGCTCTTTTATTTTTAAGGCCATAACACCAAAATATAGATCTTAGTTCAACATTTTTGTGAGGTTTCCTAATGATCTTAAGGTTTGCAAACCATTTAACAAAATGTCCATACAATACACACGCTGATAAAAATGCTAGTACTGGATGAAAAATTTTATTTATTTCATTTCTAACCTCAGGTGACCTGATCCCTCGTCATCAACAGGTCTTCCGCTCCAATGTTTTCTTCAGTGGAGTCAGTATTCCTGAACCTGATACAACGGTATGAATCCTGTTACCACTGAAATTGCACGTTCTTAATGGAGAGGCGATTAAATGTGTTTATTGTTACTATTTCCCATTTACTTTTACTTAGGAGCCCTTGGAAAAGCGTTTCCACGGAGTGTCTCCTCATGCCCTCCAGGTTATGAAGGTATGTTATATTTATGTGTAATTGAGCCTGGCTGATACATCAGCACAAAATTTGCTTGTCACAGATATATTGTATCAGTGTACTGTATATGTTTGCCAATAATAAATAACTTTATGTATGTTAGCTTGGCATATCTAAGTCCCAACTCTTTAATAACCAAATTTATAAGATCCTTTTTGATGATGCCAGCGCTCCATGCCAACTCTGTGTTTCTTTGTGCGAGCAGTCTTGCCTGGTGATGGACCCCTCTCTCCGGCTGTCCTGTGAAGAGCTGCTGGAGCTGCCTTACTTCCAGGAGGAAGGAGTAGCCAACTGGGGCCGTGATGGTGAGCGCCCCGGGAGACGACATGACAAAGGCTCCCGACGTAGACAGGCAGGGGTACGTATGAAACACAGTGGATTAATGGTGTAAGAAATCACCCCATTACCACAGACTTACAACCTGTATACCCTGCTACAGCCAATAAATTAGTTCTGGAGCTTTACTCATGGGACCGTTCTCTTTCTCTTTATTCCCCTCTTCTCTCTCTAGGCTCAGTACCTGCCACAGTTACCAAACAGCAACATCTCACCAGCACCGGATGTAAAGAAACAGGTGAAGCATAAATATCACCTGCCCAACATTTAACAAAACAACGAATCAGTCTACACGTTTGTGGCTGAACTGAGAAAGATGGACTTGTGATCTGCTTTGTACTATCATTTCAATACAGTCCTTTATTCCTGCAGTGACAGTGAGACCGTGTGTTTTAATTCTATGATCACTTTCACTGTTTGCTGACATTATCACTTAACATTCTTTACACAACACACAATCGTTAGGGCATTTTACAGTTGTAGGTTAGGCAACACACTAATGGTACTAGTACCAAAGAATACAGTGTCAGTGCTGAAGACACCTTGGACTAGATGCAATGGTTACTCTATAAAATGAAATTAAATATGATCTTTTAAAAGTCACCAGTGTGCCATCATCACTTTTTTGGCGCAGTCATTGACAACTTATCCCCATGTAGGTTCATTCTGGCTCTAGAATATACTTGTTAGAAAAAGCTAGTTTTTAAGTATTTTTAATAATATTTATTTTGTCATAATTAATTATTTTTTTCATTAGTTAGCTTTAGGATCAAAACACATTGTACATTTTGTATTATAAAACCAAAAAAAAGTGCTCAATATACAATACAGTACCATATATAATGGTGTGTACTTGATGTATAACCTCCTGACACAGTCTTAAGGTTTAATAAAACCTACCATGACAGTTGGTACTCTAAGTAATTTGATGGGTTCTTAACATTATTGCAGCCTCAGCTTTGACAGTGATCCCCAAAGTCTGAGATGGACATTCACGTTGTTGCACAGGCGAAAGACAGTGATACACCGGAACATGCATCAACACACTGACAGGCTGACACACAGCTTGACCGATCACCTGACCTTAAACTCATCAAATTACAGATGTAACTCTTCGCTATACATCACCATCACTTCGCTCAGGGCTGTAAACCAGAGTGTGTTAATCTGGGGTTAAGGACCATACAGTTGCTCACACGATGATTGATGGAATTCGGACAAAACACTCAGGATTTTGATGTTTTTAATTAATAAAACAAATTAGAATAAAATATTTTTATGTGTACGTCAGTGTCTTAAGATCAGTTCAACCACAAAAATTGCATCTTGGCTGTGAATGTTTCACTCAGTGTACTGACACATCTATAAACACGATGTCACACAATGTAGAGTTTGTTAATATCCTTTAATGTAAATACTGATAACAACATCTAGAGAAAATAACAGGAGGATCAAGCATGAAAAAGTATAAAGTATAGATTATATGGAAATGTTTGAGTCGTTTTCACAAGGTACTGTATTTATTGTCACCTTTCAATTAGTATTCCAGCAGGAATATACATTATATATATATACACACACACACATATATACACACATATATACACACACACATTCACATTAAAAAATTCCAGTTTGTTTTTTCTTTGGCACCACTTAAACCGTTCAAATGCAAATCTATTAAACCAATGTGCTTGAGCTGCACACTAAACATTTGGGAGGTTATAGGCCAGTAGAATGGTTGAAGATACAGTAAAATAGAATTACCCCCGGGGAGTTGCAATGATCTTGTACCTGCGAGGCACATTGGCAAAGCTGCTGTACTCGGGGCTGAGATCTATACTGTCAGGTCCACCGGGGCAAGACAAGGTGAAACGCTGCAGAAGTGAAACCACAAAGAGGAACATCTCCATGCGAGCGAGGGACTCTCCGACACAAGCTCTCTTTCCTGAGAGATAACAACAAACAAACCACAATGAGAATGAAGATATAGGCCTGAGATCGTCGTAGTTCAGAAAAGAGCTAAACTGTAGACAATAAAACTTGTTCAGCAAGCAGGCCCAGTGGTTCAGCCACGTTCTGTGTGTGTAACATAGTTGAAGGAAATTTACCTGCAGAGAATGGCAAGAAAGCTGGATTTTTCTTAAAGTTGCCATTCTGGTCCAGGAAGTGCTGGGGGTTGAAGGACCAAGGGGTTGCCCACTGTTTTTCCTCTTTCAGCACAGAGTGCAACAAGGGAATAATCACTGTATCCTGTTGAAACAAGACACTTTTATCAGATGGGACATTTTCTATAATCTGAAAACATACTGCATCTTTATGTGTTGAAACCAGAATACCTTGGGAATTGTGTAACCCCTGAAAGAGATGTCCTGGAGTGCGTAGTGAGGGATGTTCATGGGAACAATATCCATAAGACGCTGAACTTCATGGATAACTGCATCTGTAAAGGGGAGTGACTTCCTGTCCTCCATGCACGGACAGCGCTCCTGTCCAATCACATTGGCAATCTCCTGCTGCACAGTCTCTTCAGAATGAGGAAAACATAGATAATTAACTTTAATGAAACTACTAATTGAAAGTAATTTATATAACAAACATGCCAAACATTTGCTGGGTCAAACGTCTCTGAGGATTTTTTAGACATGCATGTAATCATGTAACCAATGATTCCGTAAACATTCTAAAATAGAGATGTTTTTAAAAGAAAGTAGGTTAAACAAGTATTTGTTGTAAAAGAAAGAAATAGACTAGTTGAATTTCTTTCCCACTGGCTTCTTTACGTACCCTGTATTTTGGGGTATTTAATCATTACACTTAGTGCAAATCTGATAGTTGAGCTGGTGGTTTCAGTTCCTGCCAGATACAGATTAAAAACTGTTGACACCAAGTTTTCATAGTGGAACTCAGTTGTGGGGGCATCCTTTTCCTAAACAAATAAAACAAGAAGAGCAGGATCAAAATCAAGATATTCAGACTCCCCTAAAATAGATTATCTGTGCACCTAGTGGTTTTAAAGTGCTCAGTATTTGCAGAACTGTGTATTAGTAAAGGGAGTATGTGCATTTGCATCAGTAAATAATTAATTGTAATAAATAAGCAATGCTTAAAAATGCCCATAGTAAATATAAACAAACATGACTTTAGTTCAGAGGCTTATTCTTGTTATTGAGCTGAGTTCAGTCACACCTGAATTACTCTCATGAGGAAGCAGTCGATGTAATCTCTGGGTGAGCTGGGGTCCAGTGTGTCCTGGTGCTCCTGGATCTTATTCATTATAAACTCTCTCAGTTCATGAATTCTGGCAAACGCTCTGTGCTGTTGACCTGGCAGCCGTTCCATCAACCCAGGGAAGACATTATACAGCTGCGATGGGAAAAGGAAAGAATGAATGAATCTGTCCCATAACCAGTAGTTAGTGGAGTCAAAAGTACCTAAAAATTCACCGACTCTCTGCATGCCAACTACAAATCATTTCCTGAAGGACTGACCATATCATAACCATGTCAAAAGTAAATATATTTGTACTTTGCATGACTTTACCAGTTAATTTTTGGAGGGAAAGTAAAAAACAGATGGAAATTTGAACCTAGTCTAAATTTTGGGGGAATGGGCAAGAGACTGCAACTTAAGAAAACACTACAAATGCAATATACAGTGTATATTGACCACTGTACATTGCATTTAGAAAAAGACACAGAAATGAAACACATTTAATAATTTAACAACTGTAAACACAAACCTAGAACAATGCTACAAGTCAAACACAACAACAGTGTTTCAAGAGGACAGTAAAAACTAATCAAACCAAAAACATATAGTAAAAAGTTAAAGCTGCAGTAGGTTATTAGAGTATTTTTTGTCATATTTGCTGAAACCTTTACTATATCCTGACAGTAGTACATGAGACAGATAATTGGTAAAAAAAAAAAAAAATGTAGGTTCCTCTGGCTCCTCCTAGTGATCCTGATGAAATTTGCAATACTCCACTGGGCCTGAACAAAAACAACCAATCAAAGCCAAGAAAGATAGTTGATTGTTGATCAACTAAATTCAAGTTTACAACCCAAAGCATCTTTATATCTTTCTAAACTGGAGACTAGACGTCTGGTTAACCCTGGAACCTCTGTGTTGTGTCGTTTGCATGTTTTCTTCAGTTGCACTTTCTCAGCCACAGGAGGTAAGCAAGTGGCCACTGTATAAGGTCAAAAATACATTTTAATGTGGCCTGATATATAAAATAATGAGTGGAGAAATCACCTGCTGGAGATATTTCTGATTTAATAATCTTGGATTATCTCTTACTGTACATGAACCAAAATACATTAATTAACAATAAAAGTTGTTCAACTTAGAAAATCAGGTTTCTTCAATCAGAACCTTAAAAATGGGAAGGTTTGACCCATGTTACTCAGTTCACAATCATTTATTGCTTGGGTCCCTATGAAAAAAGATGAAAATGCTCAGTATACCTTCAGCGTGACTACACTACAGAGTCAGCTGCCTGCTTTGAGGATCTTGCTCAAAAACACTTCATCTTCCAGCTGAGCAGTGGTCTTCCTAACCACTAACCCACCCACACTGCCAATTCACTTTCTCCTCACCTCCTCTTCTTACCTGACCCCAGGGACTGCTGCCAAATTTTAGGGTGTCTGAGAGTATCTGCAGAAGGCGGAGGAAGTGGTCGTCGTCATAGCTGAAACGTTGACCAAACACCAGGCAGCAGATGACATTGGACACAGTGCAGCTCATGAAGAAGGTGGGATCAAAAGGTGTGGCTAAAGAAAAACACAAACATGATAAACCTCCAATTTGACTGTTAAAAAGGCCAGCGCAACTTGGACTATTCTGTCCCCCATCATAGAGTGGTATGTTCCATCTCCCCAGTGTGGACCTGAGTGAAAGGAGGGAAACCAATTAAGTTCCTAAACTTTGTTACTGCCTTTGTTTTTGACTTGTGCCCACTGAACTGTTTACTTTAAGACTTATATTAATATATCCATTAGCAAGGGATATATTAATATAGTGAGTGTCTGTAGCATTAGGTTTCACCTGTGGAAAGCCTGTGCTTATTATTAACTCTCTTTATCATGTCTCATCTGGAAGCCTATTGTATTGTAGTGTTTAATCTGTAATTAGATTTGTTTGTACAAACAGGCACAGCATCAATATTTGATATACAGGCCTTGAGAGTGGGTTTCTTATTAATTGTTGCCTGCTTTGACAAATGAGTTGCTCTCAGTGGACCAGTGTGAAGGATTTAGTGCCGTCTAGCACTGAAGTTGCAATCAAGTAAATACAGCTCAGTCTTCCAAGCATGTAGGAGAAACAACAATCGCTTCGAAACTCGCAAAAAACACAAAAGGACCAGTGTTTTGTCCGTTCTGGGTTAATGTAGAAACATGGCAGACTCTGCAGGACAGCTAATTCTAAGGTAACCAAAACACAGTCAGCCAGTAGATCCTAAATGTTAGATAATGGACCTTTAGGTTGGATAAATCTAATTTGGGTAGCTGGCACCATTATAGTCCCAGGGTTCCAGTAGTGTTTACTGTATATGGCAGCCTATATTTATAATAATTGGGTTTTATCATTTGTATTATGTTTCTCCCTTAGTCAAATTAAAATATCACATGCCTTACTTACAGTTTATGTAGTCCATAAATATTGGTTTGCTGGAATAAGATATTAGTGACTATTTAGTTACATTTGTCCCTATATATACCTGATGAAGAAATAGAGTAAGTCATTGTCACACATACCTTTGGTATGATTTATGCGGTCCACCAGATGTTTGCTCTCCTCCTGGATCCACTCTTCCATCCCCTTGCGTCCCATCCCGAAGTCTCTTAGCGTTGTCAGGGTGAAACGTCGCAACTGCCGCCAGCGCTCTCCATTACTGATCCCCAAACCTTTGAAGATGTAGAAATGGTAGTTTAAAGAAATTCATAAAAAATCGCCACACATGAAATAAATGGAGAGTTTGTGGCTGCTAAGAATTATAGCTGTTAAGTATTAGTGCCTGGAGAGGTGGGTATACTTTAAAGAATAAAGATCATTATGAGGTGCAGATGTTGCAATCAATACCAGCCCACAGACGGGTGAGACAACCTCATAATTATGAATGTAGAAACATGGCGGACTCTGCAGGACAGCTAATTCTAAGGTAACCAAAACTTTAGAATGAGCTTATTTTCAGGTGATTATACACTAATGAATGTATACACAGAGATTTAATGGAGATACCTAATTCCAACTGAAAAATAAATAGGTATACTTTATATACCTGCATATACCGTACACCACTGCCGTTAAGCAATAAAACAAGCAAGTTGGAAAGTGTGTGGGGGTTAAGAAAACTCCAAAACAAAATAATAATAAAAACAGTGGGACTAAAAACCTTTCCAACTGTGACCATAAATGGATGCAATTTTCCCCCCAAATAATCTTCTACTGCACATTGCAAAAGTGTTCTATTTTTCTATTTATGCTTCTTGACTTGCACTACTTGCTTTCCTTGTCCTATGTTTATTGGTATGCACCAACATGACGAAGCAAATTTCCTTTATCTGAAAACCTACTTGGCAATAAAACTCATTCTGAGTGATCATTCTTAAGTTTCAGCATCTGTGACTGAAATACAATATTCCTAAAGGGTGGCAATACAACGAAGCCCAAAACGAGGAATAACTAATGCAAACTTTACGATCATTTTAATACAATAATGTTTGTACATGTTACAAAGTGCTTCACACAGGACCACAACTTCATAACAAGTATATTTTACAACAGTAGCGTTCGTCTATAGTGGGTTCAATATATTGTTCAAAGTTCAAAACATATTAAAGAGTTATGGCATAAGATAAAAAAAAGGGATGATAATTCTTGCTCTTGTTGTTTTCTCTACTGCTGGTAATGATAATTAGGCCCAACTAAGAGCAACTGAATGTCTGTGGTGTTAGCTTTCACCTGGGTAAAGCCTGAGCTTTTATTAACTTCCATTTTTCTCTCATGTCTCATCTGAAAGCCTGAAGGCCTGTTGTATTGTTGAGTTAATGTTTAATCTGTAGTTAGATTTGTTGGTACAAGCAGGTACAAAGCCTGTATATCAATACTTGTTGTATTCACAGTCCTGTTTTATACAAATATCAATTAGTACTGCATCCCTTTTTTATTAAAGAGGTTTCTTATTAATTGCTGCCTCATTAACACCTGAGTGGCTTCCTGCTGGTTGCTCTCAGTGATACATTAAAAGGACCAGTGTGAAGGTCTTAGTGGCGTCTAGCAGTGAAGTTGCAACCAAGTAAATACAGCTCAGCCTTCCAAGCATGTAGGAGAAATACAGTTGCTGTAAAACTGGCTAAACACCCAAAAGGCTTGATCTAGAACCAGTTTGTCTGCTCTGGCTTCGTGTAGAAACACGGGGGACTCTGCAGGATAGGACCTGCATACATACCAATGAATGTTATATACCATTTCTGCCCATACAGCATCCTACTGTAAGTGTTAGGCTACATATTGGACATTTAAGGACACAGAATGTCATACTCAAACATTCAAAAATTCCCATATTACCATATCCCTTAGTAGCCCTCATCAGTAAAGGGATAGGACCTCTGCCAGTGAAGTCATCTGCTTGGTCCACCAATGCCTCCTTCACTGCATCGTACCCTGCCAGAACCACAACGCGCTGGCTCCCCAGGTAAAGAGTCATCACAGGGCCATACGTTTCACTGAGCTGAAAGTTAAACAGAGCAGTCAACATGCCTTTGATTTTAGATCAGCCATGCAAAGGAACAAACACACCCTGCGCACTGCAGAAAACAAACAGATATACCCTGGGACAAGGAAAAGTTTAGGAAAATCATAAATGAGAAACAGCAGACTTAAAACACAGCGTACCTATAATTCTTTTAACAATTGAGGCTGGCAAAACTGTTCAGAAATACAATGAGAATCAGACATTTAGGCAAATGCATTTGACTCTCAATGCACTTGCATACAGTGCTAGAATGTGAGGTTACATAAAGTTAAAGTTACAAACACACTAAAGCCAAACCAGACAACACAGCTAAACATAAGTGAGCAAGTGGAGGCACAGACACAGACATTGTTGTTAACCTCTCATTCTCACCTTCAGCAGGGTTTTGAAGGGGGCTTTTTTGTCCAGCTGATGCAGGTTTCCTATGATCGGCAGGCCAGAGGGTCCTGGGGGTAAACACAACTTTCTGCAGCTCTTCTTCTTCAGGCTCAACAGCCACAGCAAAACAATGATGAGTCCTGCTAAAATCAACGTGCCATAGAGGTCCATGCTTCATGAAAGAGAAGACCCACTTTCACCTGCGCAGTGACTAATGCTTTAGAGACAGTAAATACTGCTCCTTACTGGGCGGCCACCCCCTTTGCCTGATTGTCCTGCTGATTTGCTGAATGCAGCAGAGTAAGACAGTCAACAGTTCTTGGAGTAGATAACACGTGTCCTGTGAGCATGTGCAAACTTCTACAACAGTTTTGTCTTCTGGTGTAATCCGAGGTTTTGTCCCGACGGGGTCCAGGCTGCAGACCTCCACTGTTAGGACTGGAAATGCACGGGATACATTTCAAAATAAAATCGCGAATGCCTTTCCGGTTTCCTCACAAATGCATTAATTAGTAACCAATATGACGTTAAATCAATCAATTCCTTATGTATATTACATATCGTTTTTATTTATATAGTAAACTTTTGTTTTGTTTGTCATTTTTGTTCTGTGTTTTCCGTTTATTCTGTCCAAATCTAGGACAAAAAGCCTCCATAACCTGTATTAATTCAAAGGAAAAAATAAAGCTTTTGATTTGGACAGTTGAAGCATTAGCCATTGTCTTTTTCAAAACCCTTCTCATTAATGATTGCCATATATGTAGACTAATATACACTGCACTGCCTAACTTTACAACTTAGTCAATATGAAAAACAAACGGTGGGTGATATGACTCGGGGCTCAGTTGTCTTTGTAGCCTACTATAAAGCTGAGGATCTTGAAAAGAGAAGGTCAAATAGTTGATCAATGAAAACAATGTAGGGCAGGAATAACATTGGTCAGTGCACAAATTTTCTTTTAAGTTATTACTCATATTCATAAGCCAACATCTCATAAGATGTCATAGGCCTATACATTTTATTGTGTACTACACAGTATATACAGTACTTCGCTGCCTTTTCATTATCATTTAACTTTGACTTTATTGCACTGCTCTTTTTCTATATATTTTTTTCAATTTGTTTTTCTGTTGTATTATAATGTATTTTTATTTTTAACCACCATAAGTTTAATTTTTGGTTCTATGTCTATGCTAATTGTGTTCTTGTGTGCTGGAACACCAATAGATACAACCCTAACTCTTGATATCTACAGTATAATCCCAGTGAATTATTAAGTGATCAATGAGAAAAACATAAAAAACACACAACATGATCAAATGTTCTGTAGCCCTTTATTCTCACAGAATTTCCACATGTCCTCAGTGCTGTAAAATGTGAATATGAAGGGCTCCAGGATTGATTCCTGTTCATTGTCATCCACTTGATCTTTCCACACCCTCCCATACCGCAGATCAGCCTCAGCCTGGTTCTCCTCCCCCATGTACAGATATCAGGCGGTCCACTTTGGCAGAGACAGTTGTTTGTTGGCCTCAACCCACTCTGCTGCATGTCTGCAATCACGAAGACGCGTCTTCAACCGAGTCCTATGGAAAAGACAGAAAGATGTCTGTACCATAGCTGCTGCACCAACAGTATCTGACCAATAGATACTGTGAAAAAGCTTACCCCTTCCACTGGTGTGTCCACGTCGGCAGGTCTGACTGAGACCTCAGCCTGCTGCTCTTCTTCCTGAAAATATATAGATAAGCAAAATGATCAGTTGTAATATTCATACTCCATGTCTGTCCTTCTAATAACGGTTTTATCACAAATAGGACAATGATAATGTCCCCCATTCCTGCAGTTCAAATTGCAGCGGCAGATCTTCTTAACTAAGAGTAAGTCCAGAAAGTGTTTATATTAGACAATGACAAACAAGTCACATGAACACACACACACACACACTCACAAATCTGTGTGTGCACGTGTGTATCTTTAATCTAAAATGCAATGGCATTACCTTCAAATGCAATGGCATTTTTCATGTGCCACTTGCACCAGGTAGTGTAAATGAGGCCTTACTTATGTAGAAGAAGTAATAATGACTACGAAAATACTGCACTACGGGTTAAAGTCCCCTGTCATTCAAAAACGTACTTAAGTGAAAGTGGCTAAAACAAGACACTGAAGTCATTTAGTATGTTATGTTAGAAGCAACATATACTCAAGTATCAAAAATAATAGTACTGATGGTGCAGAAGCATGCTATTTCTGAGTAATTTCAGTTACTATTTGTTTTGTTTATATACTGTATTATACAACAGAGGTGGAAAAATAAAAAAATTAAAATGTGCCATTCAGTCCTGCCACATTTTGATTCCACTTGTGCACTTAAACAGGTGATGTCACTAATTAGCTAGTCGACCTCTGGCAAAACATCATGGTGTGCTGCATCGTGTTGGTAGCTTGGCTGTCTCACATATCACGTTTGTGAGTTCAGAAAGACACGTTTTCAACTTTGTGACGATGCCCAGCTAATGCAAGGAGAGTTTACAAAAATGTTTTATAACGTTACACACAAACAAACGTGAACAGTTACTTTACGTTATGCACAAAAAAATGAATAAATCCTGAGAACTCAAGGTGTTGATGCTGACCGCCATTGGTGAAAGTTAACTTTGACGTTATCTAACTTAGCTTCAAACCGACATGTAACATTCGGTAATTTGCATCATTAATAACTTCTATAACGTTACTATTTTACGGCACAAATAATTGACAGCAGCAAGGGTTTTTTTTTGCCCTTGCGTAATGCCTCTGCCCCCTTTGTGGAGCGGGGTCAAAAGCAACAACAGTGTCACATGTGAAACTCTTGCCTATTTAGTGCACCCAGAAGTGGTCTGGTAGTATTTGCACTTCAGGAGTAAATTAACAGTAACTACAGAAGAGGAGAAGTTTTTTTGCAATTAAGATCAATACTGTCTCAGAGACAGGTGAAATAACTACATAATTCTGCATTTTGAGTGAAGTATTCCTTATTTCCTACTCCACTTCTTACCTGTGCCTCCCTAGGAAACACACTTATTTTACTAGTAGGTATAGTGAATCCTGAAGAGATTGAACTGAAGTGATGGATTGTTCTCTTCCTAAAATTACAACATTTAAATAATTTACTTATTTCGCTCCAAAAAAAAGATAAAGCTCCTGGAGGGTTAATCTCTCTGAACAGAGTAATGATGCAGAAATACATTACATTACTCTCTGCAAGAAAATATGCTTTGTCTTCCAGTTATCTCCTTGCTGCTCAAGAGATCTCTCTAAAACTCTGTTATTTTTTATAGAGGACTTCTTCTATCTAAATAATCTGTTTCATATTGAAGAAACAGGGAGTTGGCACCAAATGCAACATTACTCCAAAAGAACACAAAGTGGTTATTTGTGTAGCTTTGACTGTAACACTCTTGCAGTGTTTGATTTTTGAAAATAAGTAACATTATTAAAATAAATATAAATTATTAAGCAAACAAATAGATCTAGATTTGGAATTCATGCAGGACGATAGTCAAGGACCTTGTTAGAAAATAACTTTTTCTCTTTAAAGGTGATTTTCCCAGCTGGTTTATAAGGGGGTATATTTCCTTGGTGTCTTGGGTTGATAGCACTTCTTCCAATTTAATTGTATGTATAATTGCAGAATATGCAATGTAAAGAAATGACATACATGTATGATTCTTCCACAACACAAAGTGATTTATTCCCAGTTATATAAAAAGAGTAGCACTTTTTGTAGCAACACATAATACATTTATTTTTACTGATTAAAATTCATACAAAAGAAAAATATAAGACAACCAAACCAAAAGAAAAGAGGATCCATAATTATGCTTGGAGAGAAGCTGTTTAGCCTGATGGGCCTGTCTGCTGTATGTATAGTCGTCCTTGTGAGTACTTGATGATGAGATGAGAGGCTGCCTGAGTGGAGCTGCTCTTTTCACCGCGGTGTGGCGATGATCTGATATCTGCGAGGCACATTGGCGAAGCTGCTGTACTCTGGAACGAGGTTTATACTGTCAGGGCCTTCGGTGCAGGAAAAGGTGAAATGTCGTAGCAGTGATACTAGAAAGATGAAAAGCTCCATACGGGCTAGAGACTCGCCAACGCAGGCTCTCTTTCCTGTAAAGAGACACAATCAAAAACAAAGCATTGTATTATAAATGTATATAGTCCCATTAGTCTTGGATAAAACCACACTCACAAACAAAACACATGTTCATGTGAGGATGTTGGCATGCTTCCAGCGTGTTAATATGCACATTAACTAATCATTTATCAACTAACTGAGGACTATTTTTTACCTGCAGCAAATGGCAGGAATGCAGGATTTTTCTTAAAGTTGCCATTCTGGTCCAAGAAGTGCTGCGGGTTGAAGGACCACGGAGTTGCCCATTGCTTTTCCTCTTTCAGTACAGAGTGCAAAAAGGGAATAATCACAGTGTCCTGTTGAGGGTAAGATGTCATGTTAGTCTAATAATGAAATAAATCTTTTGTTTTTTCTCTAACGTTAATGATATGTTGTAATTATGAGTACCTTGGGGATTGTATAACCCCTGAAAGAGATGTCGTGGAGTGCGTAGTGAGGGAGGCTGAACGGGACTATGTCCAGAAAACGCTGCACCTCATGGATGACTGCATCTGTGAAGGGGAGAGACTTCCTGTCCTCCATTCTGGGACAACGGTCCGCTCCAATCACACTATCAATCTCCTGCTGCATTTTTTCTGTACACGACAAAGCAAAAAGTAATTTATTCATATCTGTCAATATGAATGTTATTAGGCAGGTACAGGAATATTCAGTTCTTGACCACAGTCTATTTAGAACTGGTTAAATAAGATATATGGGATCTACCCTGTATGTTGGGGTGTTTGATCAGCACACTGAGGGCATATCTGATGGTGGAGCTGGTGGTTTCTGTTCCTGCCAGGAATAGATTCATTGTTGTTGACACCAAGTTCTCATAGTGGAACTCAGTTGCGGGATTGTCCTTTTCCTGAGGGGACAAAGTGATAAAAGTATAAATATAAGATTCACAACAGAGCCAAAATTCAAAATGTTTGGATCATTTGAAATGGTATTCTTAGCACCCAAGGTAATGTTAAGGGATTATTCGAATGGATACAGAAGACTTTAAACATGAACTCCTAGGATTTCCCTTAACAAAACAAATGATCCTAAAGTTCTTTCCTACTTGATTCATTCGGATGAGAAAGCAGTCAATAAAATCTCTCGGGGAGCTGGTGTCCAGTGTCTCCTTGTGCTCTTGGATCTTTATCTTGATGAACTCTCTTATCTGCTCAACCTTGGCAAAAACAGTGTGGTGGTAGCCAGGTAGACGCTCCATGATCCAGGGGAAGATGTTGTACATCTGTGGGAGGGAAGCAGCTTTGTTTCTCAGGGAATAATAATGTGGAAATGTATTCAGTGTGTTGGGGCAATTGTTCTAAAACCCTAAATTTAAGTCTTACAGAATATTCTCTCTTAATATGTCTTGAAGATAATATAAGGACACCATATTAAAACCAGACTAAAATATATGGATTTGCATTTGGAGAACTATCAGCCATCAGAGTTTCAGCCTCCCAACACCACTTACCTGACCCATGGGGCTGCTGTTGAACCTTAAAGCCTCAGCGAAATTGCCGAGGAGGTTCAGGAACTGCTTGTCATCATAACCGAAGCGTTGGCTAAACACCATGCAGCAGATCACATTGGACGTGGTGCAGCTCAACAAAAACGTGGGGTCAAATGGCTTGCCTGGAGGAGAAGAGGAAAACACATTTGGACTCATTGGTTAAAAGTATTAAGCAGAACAAAAAAGTGATCAAAAAAAACACTAAGAACATGTTTTACCTGCCATGTAAATGTGTATCAAATGCCAACAACATGCCTGAAGCATTTAGCTTGAAATCACAATTCTTGGCTTCGTGTACATGCCACAATATTATCTGGGTATTTGGAACTGGAACAAAGGTTTTTAATTTTGGACACTTCGACTTGTATTTATCAATATAGAATGTAAAAAAATTCAATTCAAGTATTTTTAGGGTAGACAATTTACCACACATGCTATTTGTTCAAATTAAAATGTAGTTTAAAATGCACTCGGTATCTTAGTAAATCAAAACTTTGAATTAAGCCTCAGTGTTTTAGCGGGTTATGTAACATATTCTGTGTTTACTTTGTGCAAACTGCCATCAGGGAGAGATAAGACTTAAAGAGTGCAGCTGAAGCAAGAGAGATAAATACACAGAGCAACATAACAAAACGTCCACAGTTTCTTCTCAAGTGCTGACCAATTACTTAATGTATCTTCTAGGGTTTCTTTCTGTCTGTTCAGTGTATTTTGCTGACATTTTACTGGTGTTTGTGACTGATAAGTTGTTTTCTTTGTTCTAAGTGTCTCTCAGTTTTGAAGTATAATGTTGGATTGACATCTTCTTTGTTCATATTTCATTTACTGTACTGAAACTAAGGCGTTGGAACACATTTTGGACTGAAGCTGTAACTGTGGGCTGTACAAAGTAAACTTGACAGATAATCAGTAATCCTCTTTCACATCAACCTCATATGAAATATGTTTCCTTACAACAACAGCTGAGAACACACCTTTGAATGTATCTATGCGGTCTCTCAAGTGTTTGCTCTCCTCTTGGATCCACTCTTCCATGCCCTTGCGTCCCATCCCAAAGTCTCTTAGGGTTGTCAGTGTGAAGCGTCGCAGCTGCCGCCAACGGTCCCCGTTACTGATCCCCAAACCTGAAGAAAGGAAATGTGTGCTTAGTGACCAATTGGGGAAATGCAAGAGAAGCCATGTGAACACAGAGACATGCAGACATCGACCCACTGAAAAATCACTGAGCCCTTCACAAAGATGAGAGATTTTAAGTGTCTTTTGTTACCGTAGCCGTTGGTCGCTTTGAACAGAAACGGCAGGGGCCCTCTGCCTGTAAAGTCATCTGCCTGGTCCACCAGAGCCTCCTTCACTGCATCATATCCTACCAGAACAACTGTCCGCTGCCAGCCCAGGTACATTGTTATCACAGGACCATAGGTTTCACTGAACTGGAAAAAGACATAATTTGTTAGAGTAATAAATATTCAGATGTTAATTTAATCCCTTTTGTGCAAAAGTCAACATGCAATTCAAAATCAAATAATGAGGAGATGTTTGTTCTCAGTTTATATTCTGTAATTTGTTCCCAAACTTACCTTGAGAAAGCTTTTGAAGGGTGCTTTTTTTTCTATCTGCGGCAGGTTTCCAATCAGAGGAAGTGCAAAGGGTCCTGGAGGCAAGTTCCTTCTGTTTTTTACACTAAACAACCACAGCAGAGCTAAGATTAGCCCTGCTAAGATCACTGTTTCAGAAAGGTCCATGATGGTCTTTACAATGCACCTTCTCGACTCTTCACTGGTTAACAGGTGTCTCTTATACTCACTTTCACTGTGGTGCTGAATATTTGTGTTTATATTTAACAGGGAGTTGGCAGGAACACTACTCTGGGCCACAGGTGAGTCATGTGACTCTGCTGTGTACTATGTACCTTCACCTAATTAATGCACAATGCACTATTCATGTGCAATCAGAAGAGTATTATTAATGAAATTCCACTGAGGGGAAGGTCAGAATATTTTTTTATCCCTGTTGCTCCTGTCTCATCAAGCAGAGTAGCAGTTATCTACAGTAGACATGTGTACATTACATTACTGCCATAGGGTGCTATAAACAGTGATAGATTGTCTGAATAGACTGAATGTATTTGAGGATTCAAAAATACACTAAACATCTGCATAGCAGTAGGTGGAACTGTTGGGGTGTAAACAAAATGAAGCCACATACCATTTACTATAAACAACACAAAGTCATGACAGCATTCAAACATAGTTGTACCATGTGCTAGTTGTGTTATGCTGTACGCTGCACTCCAATGAAAATGTAATTTGACATACTTTAAGTTGTATTTTAGTAAATCAAGTCTGTGAGTGAAGCTTCAGCATGTTAGACGGTTATATAACATATTCTATGTTTATTTTGCATGCTCTGCTATCGGAACAAGATAAGGATTAAAGCGTGCGGCTGAGGATAAATGTGCTGAGTAATCCAACAAAGATTTTGATTTTGATTGCAAATCCATTGCTTCTTCCATCCATCATCTATCCATTCTTGTCTACTGAGTAAATGTTTAGATAAGTAATCACATACGTACAGATGCGCTTTTCATTGGCTGCTTAGTTGTGAGTGTGTCCAACTGTTAAGGCCATACATACATTTTCTCCTTTAACTGTGTGTTTTTTTTTCAGGGTGTAAAGTTTGGTTGTTGTCCTTTCTCTCATATTTTATATGTCATTTCACATCAAATCTGTGTTCAAAACTATAATAGAAAATAATAGCACTCTCTTTTTTTCATTAATGTTGCCGTTACCATTCTGAAAACACACAATGGACTGATATGGTGAAATAAAAAGACTGATTCCATTGATTAAGGATTTGAACACACAATTTGCTATATTACCTATGTCACAGTATCCTTGTTTAAACTCTGTGTTGGCATTTTTCCACTGAAATCAACTCCTTGAGTGATTAATGGTTCATTGCCAGCCCAGGTACAATGTCATAACGGGCCTGTGGGTTTCACTGAAGTGGACCAAGACACAATTTGTCAGACTGTTGGGTTCATTGTTATACAACCTTGAACCACAACGAATTAATATCCAAACATTTATCGTGAGTTGCGAGTGGTTTTTCTCTAGCTTTGTATTTAGTGAGTTGGTGGTCTTTTTGTCTATATTTAACAGGAAGTCGAAGGGAGCGCAGCATTTTACAAAAGGCAAATTGAGGTATTGATAGTAATTTGTTATTGTTCCAGTATGGTTTTTGGTGTATTCATTTGAAATATATAAAATCACAATATCAACTTGAAAAAAGCTCTGAAATTAGATGTAAACTCAGAGTAATAGACTTTAAAGATAGAGCAACACCTGCTGTTTTAGCTAAGGCTGTGCTTTATTAGTGCATAGGTCAACACATTCCTGTTTTTATGAATCTGAATTACAAACCGGCACAATTTGAGGCTTTCGGAGGCGGGCCACAACAGTAGTTGTTTGGCCTGTTTGGCAATCACTGCCAATATTGAACAGCAACGCTTTGAGGTATTGCAGTGATGTTTGTGGTAAAAAATAAATCAAAAACGATCATATTATTGACTCATTTATTCATGTTAGGGTTAGGTGTAAGGGATATATTCAACTGTTACTGTCCATGATTTATTTTCATGTGTGAAAATAATAATTCATCTTCAATGTGGCATCATGGATCTCAAAACTGAGAGCACACACGCATACACAAGTCCACATCCAGCACATAAGATGTAAACCCAAGAGATTATTTTTTGCTGTGCGACAAAATCTCAAATAAACACACACGGCCATTCAGGCTCTGCATATATCTCTCGTGCAAATCTGCTGCATCATCCCTCCTCTCCAAACTGTGGCGTGCTGCCTGTATTGACACACCAGCCAACAGGCAGATGGATCTAGAGAGAAAGACACACAGTCATGGTGACAGCAGGATTTATTTAGAGTTCACCTTTGGACTGCATTTCATGTAAGATAATGGTATGTGCAGATGGTGGGGGGATTTCAGAAAGTATGGCAAAAGGAAATCGAGCAAAGTGTCAGTGAAATGGAGAGAAAGTAGATGAGGAGAAAATATGCACAGAGGTCAAATTTAAAAAAACGTATAAAATAAACATACAGTGAAGAACCACAACTGTTAAAGCTCTGGGACTAAAATTTCCTCATAAACCTCCGCGTGGCTGTCTGGCATCATTATACTGCTCACCCTCAAGTCGTCCTGTGGCATGGAAAGACTGATACAACACAGACAGACAGTGTTCAGAGGAGTCAAGATCATGAATGATTTACCTGAGGAGCACGGGCATAAAGCCAGGAAGAACACCTTCATTAATTTATAAATTAGACGTATAGATAACCCAACAAGTGATTAATTAATGCCCTTATATTATGAAGGAATACCAACAGAGGGGTTTTTATGAGAATAAAGGGTCTTTCAAACAGTTTCTCTCCCTCTCTAGTCAAAGCTAAAAAGCAAATCCTCCACAGTCAAATGCATCAAAGTCGGAGTCTCCTTCAAAGTCGAAGCTGTTGAAGTGTGGCGAGTCAACATCCTGGCTGCAGGCGTGGAAGGAGCCTCCTGCAGGAAGCTCGGAGAAGCCCCCTGCGCCATGGGCGAGCTCTGGGGCTCTGCTAGCAAGGGGAGAGGAAGGGGAGCAGGAGCTGAGGTAGCCCATTGCAGAGGAGGCCGCTGCCCCTCCCATCAACAGGCACACTGCCCTCACCGCCCGGGCATCGCTGCTGTTGCCATGGCGAAGACAATCTGACATACGATGAGGGGGGGCCACAGAAGCACTACGCAGAGACCGCCGTGGTCCACTGGCTGTAGAAGTAATTTTAAAAATAATTTCAACAATATGCAACAATATTTAATCAGGAAAAGCTGCAAAGTTGTCAGATTATCAGCTGAATTTGTTGTTTGGGTTTTTAACATTTTTACTTTTTTGCTCTTTATCCAGACATTGATGCAGTCAGTAATTCCCCTGCCTTTAATCGGAGCTGTTACTTGATCCCAAAGTCTTCCAGGATTCCTGAATGTGTGTGGCATCAAGTATCAGCAATTATCGCTTCATGAGACTAGACAGTGTTAAACACCATCATCAGCCTTGTGATTTGGTAGCTCATCAACAACTAATGAGCTACTTCCCTATAGCATCTGTATTCATTTCTTTAAAGCTCCACTAATCAATATTTTAAAATTTTAAGTCCAACTTTGTAATCAAATTGTTATTAACATCCATCTCTGCAGTTTGTCTGCCTCTTTTTGTTCATTGTTTGGGCTTTCCAGCCAGTAGTGTGCACTGTTTGCTGAGCACAAAACAATAGAGAACTAAACTAAAAAGGGTATTCTTTCAGATATTTATCAAAGGAGTTGGTCTGCCAAACAAAAACTAAAGGGCAGGCTTAAATTCATTAGGTGTAAACAAATATGACTGTGTATTGCATCAATGACCTTATATTGCTAGCTGTATATCCAGCTGTGTGTATGTGAGTTTGTCTTTTAGACTTTACGCTCACCAGTCCCCACACCCAAGAAAACTCACTACACCATTGCTTTACTTCAGAAAACACAAACAAATGAAGGGGAAAATGGTTGCATTGACAATTCATTCACCACATTTAGAAGTAAATAAGTAAAGTAAATAAAATGCAAGCTTTTGTAATTGATAAACACATTCAAAAGACAAAAACGCTGCAAGTCATAGATAAAATAAAAGTCAAATTTCTATTATAACACAAAAAACTGATGCTTTTTAGACAGCAGACTTTTACTAGTAATTATAAATACACTTCTCTCTGATGAATGTGTTTCTCCATTTGCTATTTGCTAAATGCAACCTATGTGGTTAAGCCTCATTTGCTTTTTTAAGTACTGTGCATTGAGCTCTCTCAGCGAACATACTATACAGCTTTAACTTGGGAGTTACTACATCTGTCAAGTAACTACAGATGACTTGATAGCAGACCTGGGTTCTGGCCTCTCTCTCTGAAGGAGCCTCCCCGTTCAGTCACTTGAGATAAAGGAGGGGTGCCTTCACTAACCCTGGGTGACCCGGGGTCTTTATCACTGGAGGAGTCGGGCAGGGGGTCTCTGTCAGTGATGCAGGGAGTGATGCTGCGTTGTCTCTGAAGGGTCATGGGTGACATGACACCCTAAAATATGAGATCAACACAAGGTTATTATATCACAGAGATGGGTAACACAAAAGCAACACATATGAAAACACTCAAGGAATTCCCTTTGAATGTTTAATGTTTTTGAGATTCATTTATTTTCAGATATTATTAGAAACAACAAGAAAGGAGAGGCGAGGTGTTGAGATGAGGACATGAAAACAAGGCTGACTGAAGCAACAACAGGCCCAGACTGAAGCCAAAACCGTTGACTCACCTCCCTCACTTTCCTGATCAACTTCAGCCACAGACTGTGAAAGATAAAGTGAGGAGTCATTATATTTGAACCAGATCCAAGTTTGTAGACGTTTACAACAACACGAGCTAGTGCAGTATTGTCTGCACCATCTGTAAAAAGATGTCTGATAGTAACTGGGACAAAGGAGTCCTAAATTCCAGCATAAATAGGCAATTTGTCAATATGTCACCATGTGCAGTTAACATCTGATAGTGAGTGGGGCAAAGGACTTCCAGTGTGTGTGTGTGTGTGTGTTGTGTTTGTGTGTGTGAGAGGTGAGGGGTGGGTCCACCTGCAGTCATCGGGGTTGTCAGTGAGAAGCAGCAGGAACTTGTTCTGTGGCAGGATGAGGGCGAAGCAGCAGTCCCTCCTGCCCCCTGGAGGCAACTTGGGCAGGTCGAGGATTTCTCGTCCCTCTACAATCGACTCACAGTTGGTTTGTAGTGCTACCACCTGGTCAGGAGGGGACTCTGCATCGCGGCACACCAACAGGCTTCCCTCCATGGTCAGCACAAGGTACCTCTCCTTCCACTGCTTGAACATGAAGCCCCCTGCAGCAGAAACAGAGAGAGACTGTACAGTAGCCTGTGAAGAAGGTGCAGTTTTAGTTTTTGTTATCTTGTGTGGTTTATAGTAACAGACCAGTCACAGAAGAATTTAAAAAAGGCTTTGTAGTTGTAGAAAATACAGACAGAGGAAGGAAAAACATGAGACATGGCAGCATTATGACAGTGCTAATGTGCTGATGTTTTGAAGGTCTAATGTTGACCATGTTCACAGTTTAGCATGTTAGGGTTCTAACGTGCAAAGAAAAGTCAGGAGATCACCAAAAATTGTTTGGATTCATCCTTTGGGGACCATGGAACCAAATATCATTGCAGTCTATCCAGTAGTAGTAGTAGTAGTAGATATTTCAGTCTGGATAAAAGTGGTGAACCAACTGTCTCTTTCCCTCATCTTTGAAATTACTGTCACTATAACAGGTGCCTGTAAGTGTACTGGAGAGTTTGTGATTGTTTTTCACCTTCAGCTTGTGCTGTCATTTATTTCTGTTCAGCATTAAAAACAACTGCCATGTAAAAGATATTGTCTTCAGCTACCCTCTGTTCTATTGTTTTTCATTTCCCTCTCAGCTCTGTAGTTTCCCATTAATTGTTACACCGAGAGACCAAAAAAATACAAACATCTAAAGTGTTTATTTTCCCTCATGAGGTGCATGTTTACTCGGAAGTCATTTTAATTTCAAGTAAGGGCAGTTCTAAACCTGTCGGCCTATAAAAACGTCACAATGACAAAACAAGCAATTAGAAGAAAATCTAATTGCATGTAGGCTGAATTATCAAACAACTGGAGAAATGGACATCCTGTGTTCAGAGCAGCATTAAAGCACATGCAAATGTTATAATGTTAATCTCCCTGTCCTTGCAACCAGCCATCTAGGCAAAGTCTATAAACAATAATGCACTATAAGTCAACCTTTCTAATGACCTATAGAGTTTAAACATCAACATATGTGTATCTCTTAAAGAGAACCGTTAACCTGTAGGAACAAAAGCAAAAGCTTTGTGTTTTTGGGGACATACTGTGAGTTTTTGGGACAGGACACACATGATGGCGTTAGATTGTAAGTGTCCCAGACAGCCGTCCATTGTGTAATAATGATAATAGATAGAGAGCACATATTGATGGATGGGAAAGATCTGCTCTATTTCTCCATACAGAGGATTAAAGATGACAGGAGGATTTTGCAAAAGAGAGAGTGATAGATAGAGGTATAGGAGTTTAGATGTCTGTTATCATCACATCTACAGGGAAACACTGATGTGCTTGCAACTTTATAGATTTGACATTATAAAATATTATTGTTAAGGTATTTTACTGCTTTTAATCCACAGTGAAGAGAGAAAGAAGAGAAAAAATCAATCTGAACTGCTGACATTAGTAGTAAACGGTATCCTCTGCCTCAGTCCCCTGAGCCATCATGACGCCATTATCAAATGAAATTGAGGGAGATATAAAACAGATGTAACATAAACACAAAGACATGAAGCATTGGCTGAGTCCTGAATCCATGACTTGGCTTTGAAAATGAACATCTCGTCATTCTGTAAAAACACATCTGGGTGCGATTATATGACACTAAGTCACTCTCAGATTGATATCACTCATCTTAGAGTTGGAGTGACGATCTGAGACACCATTTCTCCTCATTCATTGTTAAGGCCTCAGCCTTATGAGCTCTATACTAAATACTACAAGCACAAGTTCAATAAACTCAATACAATAAGTCTAAATTTAAGACCGTAAATGTGCCATTTTGTCAATTCTGAGGTTCTTCAAAAAGTATAATAATTTGTTTTAATTTTGGTTGTCTGCATTGTTGTACAAACTGTTTTTTAATGACTTTGTTGGGGGGGGGGGGGTCAAAAGTCTCCACATGGACCAAATAATGACATAGTTAACTCAGATGTCGAGGAGAAACTGCAGTCAGCCATAGGTGGATAGGGAATAGCGAGAGGTGAATTAATTCAAATAAAATGTAACCTTGACTTCTGATATATACTCAGAACAAGCACAAACATAGAGCAAACAACACCAGACAAAAAAACACAGTCTGTACATGAAGACAGAGCTGCACTGCACACGGATGAAGGAGTCAAAGCAGGCCTACCATATTTCCTGAGGAAGCCTCGGTGAACGCCTGCTGTGCTCATGCCTGTGGTCATCACGGCAACAGGGACCGAAATGAAAGGCAGATCATTTGATGCTAAAAAATAGGGTAAGAGAGAGCGAGTGAGAGCGAGAGAGAAAGAGAGAGAGAGAGAGAGAGAGAGAGAGTAATCCCCACTATTTAGGCCTTCCTTCCTTAAACCCGTGCTGTTGTAAGTGGAATTGGAGCCGTCCCAGCTTATGCACACATAAACATCAGTGTTAGGCCCAAATAATCATAGTAGCAATTGACAGAGTCCACCAGAAAGATCCTATAATGTCCATCGAGGCCATCACCAGATGCCATGCTGGACCTTCCCATACTGCTCCTCTCTCAGGAACACGCACACACATTTAAGCCTCTATTTGCAGTCTACAACATAACATATGGGGAATTCATAATAGCTTATCATCAGACCTGTTTCTCAGTGTATCTCGGTGCCCTTGGATGGCATTCGAACCCGGGCTTGGATCACCTCCCGTTTAGGCAGATTAAAACAGAGGGATTATTATTCTTGCACAGCTGGAAGCCTGTTGTTGCAGTGCTGTGGATAGGCCCAACCAAGATTTTAATCTGTCCAGACCTGGGATATGTGCCCCCCTCCAAGCAACATGCTCCAAGATATTAACAGTTTTTCAATGTCATATATCCAACTGGGATTAAACGCAACTCATTGTATTGGCATGTGATTGCTTCTGACAGCTAAAATAGCATTATGTAACAAGAGGGATCTAGGAGAGACAGTATCACACCACAATCAAACAGATCCTATATGCACAGGTAAATGGGTGGAAAGAGAAACACATGATACTACATTTGGAGAAAAAAAAAGGAAACTACATTTCCATGGGGAAATTAAGTACAGTAAGTAGAATTCAGCAGGAGATGACAAATAGAGTTCATAGGCAAAAGGCTAAAAATAAACACCTTGATATGAAATAAGCAATAATACCAGAATAAATAAATAAGGCACTTAATTTTCACCTCATGCAGGAAGGTCAGAGGTCACATTCACCTAAAAGACCCCCAGCAGCTAGAATCTGTGCAGTGACTTGCTCAAGCACACTTGCCAACACTGGGCTTACATGGGACTTCTTGTTGAGCAAAGGTCTGTATTGGGATGGTTCTCCAACTGCAGTCAGAGGGAAAACGTTTTTAAAGAAGCTGATTAATAAATAAAATTAATAATAGAAATAATCCCTGCTCAAGCAGAAGGAGCCATTCCAATAATGTTTCATCTTGTTAGTCAATATCTATTCATGTGCAGTTTAGATACTTCTGTATGAAAATCCTTCAAATTGTGAATTTAAGGGACAAAAGGCTCACTAAATAAGGGACCCTCCCTAACCTAATATGTGCTTATTTGGGGACCCCATTACAGTACCATCTTACACAGGAGTTTTATACATGCGCATTGTATCTATGCACACTAAAATTAAAAACAAACTGAAGACTGAAGACTGGTGTCATTTTTGTGCTGATCTTCAAAAAAAAAAAAAAAAGAAACACAAATACACAAACGTCTAAAACCCACAACCCTTTAAAAAAAACACCAACAAATAAAATAAACAAAACAGTTCAAGAAAAATTATGTGAAATGCACTGCATGACACCAGAAAGATGCCAAAACTTTAGTTTGAAGTCTATTTCTGTTTTGAGTCATGGAAGTTTATTCCATGGGAAAACTGGATAATGATAAACAGATATTTATTGAAAGCCAAATGTTGATGTAAACTCCGGTTCTCATCCTTACAGTGACTGTTATTTTTCCATCTGACAGATCTGCGCTATCAAGTGGATTTTTATGAACTCTATAGATGTATAAAATAAAGCAGATGTTCAAAATCAAGGAGTCTCACACTCTGGACTCATTAGACACTGTGTTGCTGATGCGTTTATTGTTGCTTAACATGAATGCTGAGCTGAATGTTTCAACTAGCACTCAATGCAGGGTTCATTCTTGTTGCACTGGCCCCTCTTGAACCCACCCCAGAGTGACCAGGAGGATACAGATGTGAAGTCATATTTTCTGGTGTTTTATCCCCGGTTTAGTCCAGTATGCTTATGTTTTAGCTCTGATTGATTTCTGATTTGGTTTTGGCTTTTGAGTTCCACCAGCTCTGGAGAAAAAAGGGCTTTTTATATCACATAGTTGTTACACTAAAAATGTAACATTGAGCTGTTTTCTGGACATAAATGTTATAAGAAAACATTTGAGAGTGCATATACTGCACCTGAGGACAGTCAGACTCCAAATGGTGGCTAAAGAAGTCTGAATATATGTATATTTTCATGATACAATAATAGTACATTAGACTACATTAGAAATATTAGTAGAATTTGTACTATGGACAATAGAAACAACTGCAGCGACTCTGTCAGTCCTATGTATATATACATATATATATATATATATATATATATATATATATATATATATATATATATATATAATATATATATATATACATATGTATCTGACTATTGCATTTTTACATTTATACACACATTTATATGCATTACCTATGTTACCTATGTCACCTATTTTCATGTATAACTTGACATCACTCCCTATATTTGCTGTGTATCTGTAAATGTCTGTAGTTTCTTAGTATTTGGTCTCATTTGCATTTGTCACCAGCAGGGGGCAGACTAACCTCTGTAAACTTAACCGGGTCACGTGCCATTACAGTCCTTGTGATGTATCAACAGGTTGGGGGACGCACGTCTGGCTGCATCCAGTCTGCAGTAAAAAAAAAAAAAAAAAAAAAATGAAGAAGAACAAGAGCATGAAGAGGTTAGCTCATTGTTAGCATCCCCGGGTGGCCCTGTAGCTGGGAGAGCAGGAGGAAGGTGTTTCCCATGTCTTCCAGCCAATAGAGACTCTCCTTCAAAACTAACAGGTTGTTTTGTTCAGCAAGCAGTGGAGACTAAATAGGATATTGGCACTGTAGTCTGCCTTTGTGAGAGAACATAATAACTGGTACCCATATAACTTGTTTTGTTGGTACAAGTGGTTTTATAACTGGATGCATGTGCTTTCAACGCTGTTAATCCACTTTAGCGTCATCTGAAAGTCTCTAAGTATTTAAGTCTCGGTGTTTGGTGAATCATGTTTGCTGGATTTTGGTGTGGCTTAAACCTAAACACAGAGTCCTGCGGAGCTGAAGCCCATCCCCCTCGAAACCCAAACATTCACTCCTTCCAGGACCCATCCAGCCCCAAAACTTTGTGTTTTTGAGTAGAACACCCCTCTTTCTTGTACAGGACCCCCTCAGTGACCCTCTTCCCTCCCTCCCTGCCTCTCTCTCTGTGCTTCTATCTGGGAGCAGTGAGAGCACCATTGCTCAAGCTCCTATTGAAAAGAGAGCATATACAATGGGGTCTTTCTCAGTCCTTCTCTGTCTCCATTAAAGACCCTGGGAACACAACACTGTCCAGAGAGCCACTCTTAAAGGGCCAGTGGGACCCAGGTCTTCACAACCTGAGTCCCAGCTCCTCCCATCATTTTCATGGGAAAAGAAAAAATAAACCAGGAATCTATGCAGCAAATCAATTATTCATGAATGGTATGTGAACTCTGCAGGGCCTTCTCCCAGGCAGCGAATGCCAGCATCACCTCTGTCCAAACACACACACACACACACACACACACACACACACACACACAGTCACCTCAGACATCATCACAGTCTACAACAACACAATAACCCCGCACTGCTGCTCCCTGCATCTGATGGGAATCAGGGACAGCAGCATTTATTTAGACTACAGCTGATCATGCTTCAGTCTGTTTTGGCTGAAACGGTATGTTCAAACAAATTCCCAGACATTATGATGACATAATCCTGGTTATGCTGAGTAGTAATAAATACAAACAGAATAGTCTGAATAGTATTACTATTACTTTATTGTCATTGTCTTCTTCGTTACATTTTTGGTCTCTTCCCCTTTTCCCAGGCTCCAGCAACAGGCTCCTGTTGTATGGCATTGTAAATAAGACATTAATATGCCCGGTTACATAAAGGTTGAAACATTTTAAACTGTAAGCAGCAAGTTAATAATATTAAAAATGCAAATTGCTTATTGCCGAATGATGAAATTAATTGGAAGTATAAGTTCTGTAAAGTTTTTTAACCAAGTCATTGAGCAAATTGAAGTTGGGCGTTATTTTATTAATTTAATCCTCTTAACTTTCACATGAACTAAGAAATCATCTTTGTTAATGTGGCAGTGGGTTTTGACCCTACATTTTATTTTAAATCTGTAAAAACACTAATGAAAATCATACAAAAACCTTTATTTTTAACTATCAAGACATCATGAAACAATAAACAGATTAACAGTAACAACAGATACAATTAAACCAGGGCACAATTTGTAGATATCCATATAAAAACAGGAGCAGCTTAGGTAAAGCAAAGTTAGTTAATACTCTCCAGCAGACGACGATGAAAGGTTCTTAAATCACTCTGTCTCATTTATTCATAAGTAAACAGACTGATTTATACTCTGCCCAGACAAAATGTCCTCTATCATGTTGCTGATCCACACATGGACAGCGCACAGCTCTGTTTGCCACAGACTGACACATATACTTTGTTTCAAGCGGGAAACGGCTGATTTACTGGGTTATTTACAACTTCTGGGGATCCGTGTGTAATTAAAAAGCGAATGGGGGATTGTGTTGAGACAATCAGCATGCCGCAGGGTTTCTCACATCCTCTGAGAAAAGGAGGGAGACTCAGGAGGAGGAGGAGGAGGAGGAGGGTGGAAAGAACTTGAGTTGAGGAATTTGAATCCTGTTTGAAGGGGGAGAGGGAAAAGAAAGAGCCAGGGGAATGTCTGAGGGAGTCTGAGGGAGCCGGTGGGCAGGAGAGAGAGACTTTGGACGACAGACTGCAGGAAACACTGGTTTAAAAATACTCCCTCTGTTGCTAGAAATAGCCTCGGCTTTGGACAACTTTATCAGCGGCCGAAGGTTTTGGTGCGCCTTTTTGCTGTGCACTTTTTGGGTAACTAAAAGTTTGGTGGCGAGCGCTCCGTGCTGGGATCAACCAAAACAACAGAGTAAGGGGGAAAAGCAAGAAGACTTGAGCAGCGCGGATATATATTTTTTTTTTTTTTTAGTCTGTCTGTTCAGAAAAGGGAACTGAAACGACGGGGTCCGGTTTTCTGTGGATAATCACTTTTTCAGCAAAACTTTTTTCAGCGCACAACTTTGGATCTTTGCGCTGCTGAGATGCGGTGATGGAGTCCCTTGATGTTTCCAAGATGACTGCTGTCCTTATGAAGCACATTTTCAGAGGTGATCTCCTTTCAAGAAGAACCATGAGCGACTCTAAATGGTCGTTTTTGATCCTCACCTTCATTTTTGCTGCTTGGAGGCCAGTGACCGCCGGCACTCTCACAGGTAAGCCTTAATTTCCACCGAGCAGCAGCAGCAGCTTTTCATCCAATGTGACTGTTGTTTGTCAACTTCAGTGCGAGGAAAAACATGGTAACGAGCAATTAGCCCAGTCAGCCTTCTGCTCCCAGCTCATTAAATCAATTTGCTGTGGGGTGGCGAGTGCAACCACAGCTGCAAGTGCGTTCAACATCTGGCCAACATGATGGAAATCACAGCACTCATAAAAAAGCCTTTTAAAACAAGGTGATTAAAGAAAACAAATTACAGATAACTTGTGTTTGTTTAATCGGGCTGAGGATTTTAAGTGGCTTGTGTTCTGCTGATACATAATTATTCAGGGACAGCAGCTCAAAGGTGGTGGAGGAGTTTGTTGTGGAGAGCTGTTTTCCTTGGTTTCCATGTTTTTGAGATCAGGTGCAGCATGAACCCTTCTTATCCCGAGAACTCACCCAAACCACCAAGATTCCTGTCAGTCATGGCATTTCCAGAATACTGAGAAATTTTGAGAGATGCATTCCTGGCAGGGAGGGGGCAAAGGCTTTAAATAACTCCTGCTGGGAAGTGAGAGAATCATAACAAAGTATCTTAACGACCATATAGAACAGCAGCATGGAGAGAAGTCTTCTGTTTTGCTCTTTAGAAAGGTGGAAACCAGACTGTTGACTCCTTTAAAAACATGCCTACATATACCAGGTCATTTTACATCAGCACATACGTTTGTAAACACTGCCAACCATCATTCAGAAGTCATTATCTGTCCTAACAATCAGTTTTTCTGTTAAGTTTGGAATCCATCAGCTACTGCAACCAGTGGATGAAAACATGGGGTCCCTACAGGGGCCTCCACCTGTCAGCTCATGTGTTTTGACCATTATGGTCATGCTGTCTCTCTGGGGGCTCTACTTCTGCCCTCAGCAGATGTATGACCAGGATGGACAGAGATTACTAGGCACTGCTTTGATTTATAAGCTCAGACTGTTGGTTTTAAAGAGAATCTTTCCTGATGTCTCAGTTCCTATTTGGATCTTGGAGTGAGGAGTGAGGAGGGGTTCAGGGGGGCAAATGCTTTGGTTTGTGAGTCAGAGCCAGTCTGACTCAAGCAGTGAAATGATGGATGGGGTAAAGGGGGCAAGAGTGGAGGAGAAAGAGTTGGGAGGGGAGGTGGCAAAATGTGTAGCGATGAATCCAAAGAATGGCATGAAAAGGAGGCTAAATGGGAAAAGGGCAAAGGCGCGGCAGTGAATGGAGGGGCTGAATTACGTAGCGTTAAAAAGCCAGAAAGATAAAGGAGGGAGTGAGAGGAAGATAAATGCTCGGACTGTGTTGGGTATTTTTGGTATGTGCATGTCCACTGACATTTAACATCTGAGCTTTTTCTACGAGAGAGAGTAGGAGTAGACTGGGTGGATCATGAAAAAAAAGTGTGGGACCTCGAGGGAATTCAGGGGACAAAAGGGAGGAGATGGAGTAGTTAAGCACAAATGAATCACTGGAGACAGGCCCCACACACACACACACACACAAACACACTTACTTTGGCCATGGCCTGCTCTTTCTGTCTACCTCTGCATTCTAATAAAAGGTTTACAAGCTTATTATTATATGAATGCAGCACTAAGAGACAGAGAAAGAAAGTAGGGCTGTTTTTGTTCAATATGGCACTGAAAAAAAAAAAAAAACAAAGTCAGGGCCATGCAGATTCTTGAAAGTGCTCAGCCAAGCTTAAAAATAAAGGGAGGAATGACTTTTAACGCCAAAAAGCACACAGAGACAGAGAGGCGGTGAAGCAGAGACTCAGCGGGCCCCTTCATTTATTGCACACTGCCAGAACAAGCTTTTTGAATGCTGAGTTGTGTACGTGTGTGTGTGTGCATGTCTGCGTGGATTACATACACATTTAAAGCACCGAGGGCATGTTCTACTCATAAGTAAAATGAGTGCTGCTGCCAAAGTGTGCTATTTACATTGCAAGTCTGTTTTCAGCAGCTGAATTATTTGTGTTTATGTGTGTTTGCGTGAGATTGGGTTGCAGTGGAGTCCTGTGGGGTCACAGTGAAAGGGTCAGAGGTTGAAGGGTAGGCCGTGAAACAGACTAGAAGGGCGGGTTGACAAGCTTGAGAAAATCTTTACAGGCATCACTCAGTTGAACAAATGTGATTTATTTTCGTCCTGAAAGTCAAGTTTGTATTTATTTTATTTATTATTTTATCTTTTATCTATTTTAACAAGACAAGGGTTAGTTAATGCCTAGCCTTGGTCTGCTCTATGGATGCTTAGCATTTTTATTTGATGGTGTAGAGGAAAGAAAAGGATTCCTGTAGGAGGGATCTATGTATGACTGCCAAATTTGTATTTTAACAGAGGTCAAAGCTGTGGCTATTCTTTTATCTTTGAAACAGCGTGCAAGCCCTGCCCTTAACATTATCAGGAATTCCTCTCATTTCTGTCGAATGTCTTAAAAGTAAGAAAAAACAGAACCGCATCATTTTTATAGACGTTAAACAGATTCATAGACATCTTGGAAGACGACCTGCAGGCTTGTCATTGGTGTTTGAGAGAAACCCTGGAGGTTTTTTAATGTTTATGTTGAGCTCTCTCTGCTCTGACACTGTCGGAGTAGAAGGAGCAGCTATCCTCTAACAAGGAGCCTTTGTCCCAGTATCAGCTCTGTCCTTCTCAGGTCAGCCCTTCTGTCAGTGAGGGACACAAGATAACTGGACTCATTTCAAAAACAAACCAGTGTGGTGGTGGATAAACTCTAGGTTCACCTGCTGTTATCATATCTCAGCAAGGGCTACATCAAGCCTGTCCAGCATGAAGGAACGTTTACCAGAACGAGCACACAAGTGAATGCTAGACATCAAGATCATCAAGACATCAAGAAATGTCTAAGTCTAAGTCTAAGGTGATGAATTGATGAGTCAACAATCAATTAAGCATTTAAGCTAATAATTAAACCAAACATTGTCTGCGTGCAGCCTCTCAGATGTCAAGATTTGCTGCTTTTCTGTGTTTTGTAACATAATATATAAATTGAATGTCTTCGAGTTTTGAAAAATTTGACCTTTCGTCAACAATTTGTCACCTTGAGCTATGCATTTTCTGACAATTAATAAAGACATCATTATCAGTTTATTTATTAAACAGTAATGAAAATAATTAGTTAATTAGAAATAATAATTAGTAATATATCAAATAATTACCCTAGTTTTATTTAGGGTGTGAGTTCTTTTGAATAAAATATATGTTGTTTTTTTGTTTGTGTTTTAAAACAGTCTTTTCATTTTCTTAATTATGGACAAAAAGGATTTCATCATTTTTGAAAAGGGCATCATCCATGTTGCTCATCACCTGCTGGAAGCATAACTTCTGATCTAGCCGCACTATTATCTTTAAAAAGTAAAACAGTAGGAAAGCTTGCTGTCTTTGGTTTGTTGGCTTCATAAAATGTTGTAAATGTGTACTGTATATAAGGTTTATTTTGAAGGACTAACCTCTAAACCTGCTTCTTCCCTCTCTTCACCTAAGATCTGGAGTTTGAGAAGAGTCCAACTACTGTCATCTCTTCCCTGGGCAAACCTGTTACAATGCAATGCACCCTGAAGGGGACAGGGGATGAAGAAGAGGACCCTCCTGATGTACTCTGGCTGAGAGATGGCTTTCCACTTCTGTACGCAGACACCAACCAGTTCCAAGTCCACACTGGCAGCAACAGTTGGACGGTCATTAGTACTCTCAGGTAGGCAGCGTTTTCTCCCTTTGTCATGTAGTTGCATGAGATTTAATGATGTTGTGAGGCAGCCACACCTGACCTAAAAATGTCAGTCATCTGCTCTGATTGTATTTATTTCCTGTTCCTCCACCTTATCCTTTCACCTAGCTTAACCAGTACTGTTGCTGGATTACTTCAGCATGTATACTTCCAGCCATTGTTGAGCACTTTGAAATTAAGTCTGAAAGGAAATAATATTATCCAAGCAAAACCCCTTATGAGCCTTTCCTACTGTAGCTTAATGTATTTAATCCCAGTATGATTGGATGGCAAAATTTAGAAGGAAAGTAATCAGGGTCTGTACATTTTTCTGCCTTTATCTCCTTGTTTATCTGTTTGGGTTGTCATTGTTTGATCTTCATAAAACAAATCTATAAAAAAAAAAAACAATTTATACTGTTTTATGCATGTCACAGCATTGAAAAGGTCCAGCTTCCCGACATGGGCTCCTATCAATGTGCTGTTGTCCTATCAGAAAGCAACACGACTTATTCTGAGAGGGGGAGCATTCAGTTGGAGGGTGAGTTCATCTTCAGCTCCCTGGCGTACACAAAGACAACCACAAAAATAAGCAAGTTTTCCGTAGAGAGTTTTACTTGGATTGTTAAAAGCTAATTCTTTCTCAGGTCTTCCTCATTTCTCTGTGGAGCCCCATCACATGTCTGTAGTGGCCAACGTATCCCTGAGCTTGAGCTGTGTGGCCCACGGACCTCCAGAGCCAGTCAGGGTCATCTGGCTGCAGGATGGCGCTCCCCTCAACTCCCTGTCAGACCCGGTGGCCCTGTCACCCTCCACACTCAACCTCACAGGTATCATCTTTCACTCTCTGTTGCCTCAACAGTCAGGGCCACATGTACACAGCTTAGTCAGACCCATTAAAACATCAAAACAATCAACTCCTCAAGGTCTCTCACGTTGCACTGATACAGGGAAATGTTCAGTAAATGTTTAATCTATAAAATGTATAAAAACAAAATGCCCATCGCACCATCTTGGCAGAGGCAAAGTCTTCAAATGATTTTGATCAAAAGTTTAAAACACAAACACTTAGTTTATGACTAGATTACATAGATAAAACAAAACAAAAAAAATTTAAATTTGAAAAGCTGGAACCAGAAACAGTGTGGCATTTCTGCTTTATAAAATAGTTAAACAATTCAATTATCAGTTACCACGTATTTCAGCATGTTAGTAAAGTAAGATGTCAGCCGATGGTGGCTCCAAGTAGCAAAGTTTTTAAATTGCGAGAAACGAGAACATTTCAAAATCACTGGTTTTAATTTAATCTGATTATAATGTACTGCTTCAAAAGCTGCACGGCAACTATCTTCTATAATTTCAAAGGCTTTCAGATCCCCCCTCCACGGCCCAAACAAACCACCAAATAACCAGCCTCCCCAGAGAGAGAGGCCTGGCTGGCACTGTGCCAGTGGAGCCATTGAGGATGTGCCTTGTGGTTGTGGTGGTTGATGGGTAAAGGCAGAGCCGCTGGCACAAGAGGGACTATTGGAGGGAGAAAGAAATTCATGGGCAGTGGACATAGGGAGATAAAAGAAAGAAGGAGAGTAACAGATCTGTTGCTGCTTGAATGCAAACCACAGCTGCCTACCAGATAGCTGGCCTGTGTTAAGTCTAGTAGTAGGAGGCCAGGCAAAGCAAGCTGAGTCAGATGGAAGAAGGGAGGAGAAGGCGGCAGCAGTCTGTTTAAGGATGTGGTTTGACTCATCAGAGTTGACTGACCAGGACCCATTTGACTGAACCGACACTCATATCTCTGGAATGGACAGCTGCCCTGGTAGACCACAGGTCCAAACCAAGGCGAACACAATACGTTTTTTAATAGGCCAATAATGAGAAATGACATGGAAGTACATTCCAGCCATTAAGGAAACATGGGCAACACATGTTAACTTCAGGTTCAAGGTAGTTTCCATCTACATCCGAGCTCTTTTTACTGTATGCCTTGTCCACCAGTTTTAGGGCAGAAAGCTTTTCAACTGGATAACTTAAATGAAGTACTAATATAGTTTAAAGTCCTCGATAGCCAATGACTAAAGTCTGCGACCAACAGATATCAGCAGAGACTTGCTTTCTTCCCTGGTGACGCTCTGCCAGACATCTTCTTGCTTGTTTCCTGAACTTTTTGCCTTCAGTGATCTTCAGTAATTGAAGCCAGTCAAGAGCATTCAAGGACTGAAATAATACTTTTGGCTGTATGTTTAGGATCACTGTCCCACTGTATTGACTCAATATTGGGGGGCCCTGTATAAAAAAAGCTACAGGTCTTATACTGTTGGGAGATGAAAGTCTGCATTTTAATTGTCACTGTTTTATCCAACAGTCCAAAAGTCCAATAAGTGTGTACAGTATGTCACAGTCTTAATACTTTCTGACTGCCCTGTACTTGTCAGCCAAGAAGAGGAAGCAGCAGGACTATACTCTGTCATTCCCAGCTGATAGTAACACTGTTGGTCAATACTGTGATGCTCATGAGCTCAGGAGTTCTTCCTAGTGACTGATTATGACATTTTGAGCTGGTCAGGGGATGCTGTGTTGCAGTTTAGGGAAGGAAAGAGACAGAGGGGCAAGTGGCGCAACTTCAAGATGGCCTGATGAGCAGTTCATTCACCCACACAGCCAGTGGTCATCCCTCACCCCTCCCTCCATCCTTTTCCTCTCTCACAATCCCTCGCTTCACCCAGTGAGGATCGTACCCCCTGTTCTTTTTCCGGCCCCAACACAATGGAGGCATGGTGCCGTCGGCGCAGAGCTACACACTGTGTGATTCTGTTTGTGGCTGATTGACAATGTTAGGGTGTTAGATAACAGGGATAAAACTTGAATGTCACATGTGTCAGTCTGTATGTGTGTGTGTGTGTGTGTGTGTGTGTGTGTGTGTGTGTGTGTGTGTGTGTGTGTGTGTGTCTGTGTGTGTAAGCCTGTGTTGTGTTGTGGAATGATTTGAGTTTGTGAGCATGCTGTGAGTCACTTTCTGAGAGGACTCATTCTCTGTTGAATGTCAGTGTGAGTCACAGTGTTTTGCCCCCTTCAGAGGAGCCCCAGCCTCTTGAAGGAAGCAGCTCAGCCTTTTACACCTGGACCTCAGCGCGGCTGCTCTCTTTGTTCTCAAAACTACTCTGGAAGAAAAAAAAAGTTCAACATGCAGTCTGTGCAGGCTGTAGGTTAGAGATTCTTAAGTTGACGAATGAGTCTAGGGTGGTGGATGTACATACATGCACATTGCAGTTGGGACTACATGCTCATGCTTAGGACTGCATTCTTTACCCTATAAGTGATTTGCCATTCAAGAGATGACTAGATTCAAATGGTTTAGATTTTTAGATGTCAGGTTACAAATGTTTCAACAGTATTTCAGTGACTTGAATGCCTTTGAGAAGCACAAAATGTCACTTTTCAATAAGATTCACCAGTATCAAGACAACGTGTATGGATTTAAAATTGAAAAGCATGTCTGTCAAAAATGTGTTAATAATATTCGTTTTGTCTGATCCATGTAATCCATCCATGTTTGCGCCCAGTTCTAACATTAAAAAGGGATTTATATTAGGCTGAAGAGGCATATTATAATCAAAAGTGAATGTTTTAAAACTGAGCGTGAGAAATCAGACATACTGGCACCGGTTTTAATGAAATGTGGTGGAAAGATGCTTGACACAAATTGGTGCATTATTCCTGCCAGACTTTTTTATTTATTTAAAAAAAATAAGAGTCTAAAGTGTACTTTCACATCAACAAATACAGACTAACCCTAAGACTAATCATAAAAGTGTCGAGAGAGAGATCACGTTACCTTATGGAAACTATTACTCTGACACTGTTCTCACTTAAGTTTGAACTTTCACACTGTTTCTCACTTTGACATTATGCGCAACTCAGCATGCTGAGCAAGGAGTCTTGGTTTCAAAAGCCCCTGAATGTTCCCACTTCACACGTGCCTGTTGGGTTCCTTTTTCGTTTCAGGTTTGAACAGGACCAGCACCTTTTCTTGTGAGGCCCACAACCGCAAAGGTGTGGCCACCTCTGGATCTGGTACCATCACTGGTAGGTGTCACTGTGGAAGCACTAAGACTTCAGCCCCCTTCATTCAGGGTGTCATTCTTTTGTTGTTATAGCTTTATTTATTGTGTCTTTCCTTCTTCAGTTCTCCCATCCCAGCCTCAGAATTTGAAACCGTTGGAGATCACTCAGACCAGTCTCCGTTTATCATGGCAGCCCGGTTTTGGAGGCGACTACCCGATCATCCGTTGCTCTGTTCAGGTGAGACAACAAGATAAAAGTGAGAGAAGAATACCACAACTAGCTGAGAAAACTAGCCTGGAAAAAATCACTGCAACTGTTTGACCTGCATGTTAAACAAATACATCACTCTCCCTCTATTTGCTGGACTCCACCTTACTGTTTGCAAGCCTAATTTTAAAGAAAAAAGAGCTTGGTTTTCTTCTCTAACTCATCCTCTACCCCTCCCTGCTTTATTCACGTACCCGTGGATCAGGTTTCACTCTGGGAAAGTGGCCTCCTGGAATAATCTTATGTAGCACCACTCCCTCTCTCTCTTTCTGTCAGTGTCTCTCTGTCACTATCCTGCTCTGTGGCCATTACAGCTCATAGCTGAGCGGAGGAACATTTTCTCCTGGAGAAGGGAGCAGTGCAGCACCACCCATAAACGTCTGGTTCTAATAAAGCTGCCCCTCATACCTCTTGCTGTTCTTACCCCCACCCCTCCCCACAGCCCTCCTTCACCCCCTCACCCTCACAGGGGAACAAGGCGAGGGGCCGGCTTCAGCAGAATGGGGCAAAAATCTGAATTTAACGGTTCATTGTGTGGCGAAGAAAAACATGAAAAAGGCTGCAGTGTAGAGGGAAGAAAGATATTACTGTTCCCCACAAAGGAAGGATAAGAAAGAAAGAAAGACAGTCAGAAAGAAAGAAAGAAAGAAAGAACAAAAGAAAAAAGAGAGAAAGACAGTTAAAGAAAACAGGAAAAGGCAGTGACAGCAGCAGGTATTGTGGTTCTGAGCCATACAAGGGGAATGCAGGCTTAAGTGTGACTCAGGGCTGAGCTGTTCAATTAGATTAAACACAGTTGTTTACTGGCTGGACAGTGATTCATCGAGTCAGGAATTACTCGCACTCTCTCTTTCTCACACACATTCATACAGTCCTGATTCATACAGCTTCATATTCATTGGGATATAACTCACAGCATAAGGAAAAACCCTTCCCCCCTCATAGTGTATGACCTCTGAATACCCATATCGAGACACTGTTAACGCAATATATAACACCTGCCGGACACACACACACCAAATCTGTTTGTATGGCTGCTCGTTTGTTCTATTATTTATTCATAAGTTCTCAGCTCTTACTATAAAGCCCACCCTGTGAAGTGCAGCCTCTAGCCTGCAGGAGCCGGTTGGTAATGAGCAATGCAGCAGAGAACGATGGTGCAGACCGGCAACTTTAATGTGGTTTTAAGATTGCTGCAATGAAGGATTTTTCCTGCCTTGTGTTCCTCTTTAAAATTGTTTACCACAGAGAGTTTGCAGAGACAGCAGGTTTCTGCCTGTGATTTTTACTTGATGGGTTCTGCTTTCTGTGCACCTTACTGAGCCTGTTACTTTCAAAGTAGCAATGAAGCAGAATTTACAATGTTTTTGGCAATTAACACCTAACTGACCATCCCCCACCACCCCTATTATGCACAGACTTCAACCTCATATCTTTTCTTCCACAGTACCTCATACACAATACTGTCAGTTACTGTGCATACTGGGAACATTTTAGTGGATAAAAAACTTTTTAATTGCAAGGTTTTCCTAGATTTAACATATGCATGATGATTTATGAAACTTTATCCTATAAAATGAAGTGACTGCTGTGACATGTACTATTAAAAAAACTTGAATCCACAAATTGGAGAACCATCTATTGTAAACATTGGTTCAATTGTTTTATGTGTAATTCTTTTATTAATATTTAAGATATTTATAATTATAAAATGATCTCATGAAGGTGTTAATTGCTAGTGTTAATTAAGACCAATTTCCCATTATAATCTATTTCTACATGTTGTCACTTTCTGCACTTCATATAGTTAGTTATATAAAAAAAGTTTTTGCTTTGTAAAGCAGGTAGAGGCGGTAAAAATAGAATTTTGTTTATCTGAATGTTTCAGGCCAAACACATGGGAGAAATCTTCACATCAGGCCCAGATAAGATGATCCACAACCAGAATGTGAACATCCCACCAGCCACACACCTCATCGGGGATCTGGAGCCCCACAGACTCTACGCTGTCAGGGTGGCATGTCACAGCAGCCAGGGGCCCTCTGACTGGTCACCCTGGGTGGAGCTACGCACCAAAGAAGGAGGTGAGCCTTCCAAATGAAGAGATGTTTGTTTTCACCCTGGATGGCTTGTGTGTGTGTGTGTGTGTGTGTGTGTGTGTGTGTGTGTGTGTGTGGGATCACCTCCTCTGAAGTGAGTCAAGGTCAAGGCTCTGTTATCTGGCTACCGGTTAAGGTCTAAAGCCAAGTCCCAAGTCTTCTCCCACTCCTGCTGTATACTAACCTGCTAGATACATGCTATACAGCAGCTAGCAGGCACAATTTAGATGTTTTTTGCATGTTATGGTCTAAACCAAGTATAATTTTATTGAACTATGAAGTAATACATTTGCATTGCACATTTGCACATCAATTATTGGTGCCATTAGAATTTAGCTGTATTTTGTACTGCTAAAAATACCAGGCCTTACAGATGAGGATTTAGCAAGGCACAAGTCCTAGTCAAGGCTTCACAGGCAAATTGAAACTCTTTCAACTGCTTGAATGCTGCCAGCTGGGATTATTAGCATTTAAACACTTCCATATCAAAGCTGAGTTAGTGTTTTTTGCATAGCTAAGACCCTTCATTGTGAAGGCCTAATCATTAACTGTAAAGATTTAGGCTTTGTGAGGCCTGCCTGTTGCCTTCTTATTGTTTTTTTATTATTATTATTGTTCCTGGATTTCAAAGCTGTGACAGAAGTCTAACCACAGTCTCAAGTCTACAGGTTGGATGTTAACTCTTTCATTTTTTTTCAAGGCAGTGATGGGTTTTTTGCATTTCAGTCTTAAACTGCAGCTGATTAATAACTAATCGTGCCTCGAATTCAAGCTGTCATAGCTTCCGAAAAGTCACCTACAGTTGGACAGATGAATGACAGAAGATGAAATGCCTAAAGGAAAACTATTAATTATCAGGGACACTAATTGTTTCTTTAAAAGGGTTTTTCTGATCTTATTTTGAGGTTAATTTAATTCTTAAGGCAGCTTGATTCTGTGAGTCAAGACTTACTTGGAACAGGCTGTATGATAACAAGGAGTCAGCGAATCAAGTTACAGTGTGCTGTTAGTCATAATATTCCTTCCTGTGCCCCTTCAACTTAGTCTGTGTTTATGAAGAATACCAGACACGAGGCACTGTACCTCTACGACCCCAGTTTCAAATGTAAACTCTTGAGGTAGAAAGCTGACTGGTATTGAAGGGATAGAGTAGGTGGAGACAGAGAAAGGGAGGGAGGGTGGACGTTAAATTCTCCTGAAAGGCTTCAGTTAGGATTGCCGCACTCGATCCAAACTGTAATGCTAGGCTGCTGTGTGTTTGAGTTTAAACTGAGGTGGGATTTTCCATGCCAGCTCATGCTGTCTCTATCCCTGGATAAATAGGAGTGGAAACAGCGTATACTAAGAGGAGAGATATGCAACAGGAGAGATGATGGGGGCTTTCCATGGAAGCTACTTATGATCTGAAAACACTTCAACAAAACAATTCTCATAATTAGAAAAAGGGAGAAGTAGCACTCCTTGAAATGCCACATAATGAAGAAGGACAAAAAGTGGTTTTAAGATACAGGAATCAGGATTTTCAAGTTTCAGTTCCCTGTTACAGCAAAGTCATATCAATCTTTGTTTTGTTTCAGTGTAAAAAACTGCTTTATTTGCCTTTGGACAATATTGTTTCATTTCCAGCTCTGGCAGCTCTCTCTGCACTTGTCCTAATGAGTCAGAGGATGAAAAAGAAACAGAAGATAAGATTCAGCTGGTGGTCAAAGATAGTTCAGGAGGAACTGGAGGTCAAAGGGAGTGAGAGAATGAAGGGGAGAGGCAGACTGCTCACAGCTCAGCCATTTTTTACATTAAACTCCCATTAGGATCTATTGTTGAGCCTGAAATCTTCCTTTCTGGAGTTTCTTTCTGCTCCATTTGTTTCTCATTAATAAATTGTCCAGATATGTGTTGCACTATCTCCTACATGTGTCATCCTGGCACAGACATCCCCATTTGCTGAAGTTTTTTCACTTCATTACTTCTTCTGTCAGCTCTTTTTTGTTCTCATATCCATGCTTCACTCAAGTAGACTGGGCTACCTCATTTTGTTGCATTAGTTGTTTCCTATCTCAGATCCTACAATCACCACCGAGGAATTTGTTTCCTGAATCAAACAAGCCGAACAAGTTATTTTTTCTGAATCCAGTCTTTCAACTTCTTCACTTCTTCGTCTCTCATTTCCCCCCTTTTTTGACCTCAGATGACCTGTGATTTCTCTTTCTAGAGCACACAGCAAGGCCCTGTGGGAAAAATAGAAAAAAGAGGTTAATGGTGGGAGTAGGCAAGGAATGGATAGAAGAGCAGGGAAACTAGGGAAGGGGGCGCTTTGAGAAAACATTCATTTTGCTATTTTCCCAAAGCCCACTATTTTCCCCGGAGAATGGGAAAACAGAAAGGGCGGGGGGCTGGTCGGTGGGAGAGGAAGCGAGACGACCCATGTAACCCTAATCCCAAATCTGCAATGAGATTATGTTTTACATATATATATTTACATATATATTCTGTAAACACATTTTTCTTCCTAAATGACTCCAGAAATGCATCTCTCCCAAAAAACAAACAAAATCTATGAACAAAAACGGGGTGTGGCAACTCTTGACAAGTATTACTGTGTACTGTGCACAACTTTCCACCAAGTTTGTTACACTGAAAAGGCAACTGTGGGATTCCTTCTACACTTTTCTGTTACTTACGGGACATCCAAACTCACCATCCTTATGAACTGAGTCCTGATGATGTGGCACATGCGTCACATATGCCACATTTAATGCTGTTTAATACCGCTGCCAGCAAAAATGCAACTACAAGCATTTAAAGAACCGCATTCGCTACAGACAGACAACTGCCATAAAAACTGAAACACAAACGTTTGTGCTCCGACTGATCTGGGAAACATGTTTCCGGTGAAGTGCTGAGTTTGTTTTCCCAGATCCCAGGGTTATGAGTTAATTTGGCTTAAAGAATACCCTTTTCCATCCATGTGTTGACCCACACAGAGTCTAACCAGAATGAGAGCGTACAGAAAGAGAATCCAAGGGCCAGCCCTGCCTCCAAACAGTGTTTAAATACTTCCAAGCATGGTTATGCGACACTGCTTCTTCAATAGCAGCAGCACGTAACAGGATGTGAAACAGTAGTCTGCCATGGATACAGATGTTAACCTCTGCTGTTGTGAACTAATTGTGGCTCAAAAGTGTTTGTTTCTCAGCCACTTGCCCAGCTTGGGCTGCGTTCATGTGGGAGACAAAAGAACAACATGAGGAATTCTTTGTCTGTATTTTCTGCATTTCACAAAATGGCACTACCACACATCTAGCTTTTTGTATTTCCTTTTTAAACTTCCAAAATCTTGCAAGTTTTTTTCTTCTCCCCAAAGTTTTACATCAATGGTTAACATCTCTGTTCTCTTGAACTCATAACTCCATGAAAAAAAACAGAGAGAAATGACCACAGAGAGGGCAGCGAGGGAGAAGAAAAGTTGGAAAGAAGGAGATGGAATCATGGTGGATGGAAGACAGGGAGAGGGAATGAAATGAAGAGGGGAGAAGAAAGAGAGAGAGGGTGCAAGTAGGCAAACAAAGAAGTGAAGAAGAGAGAAAGAGTTCGACAGATGACGAATCATAGGTGGAGACGAACTGCTGGAACAAACTTAGACTTGGAGGTTGTTTTTGTTGCCGCTGGCAGGCAGAACGGGGACCGCATGTGGAAACAATCACCCGCCAAATGCTTCCTGATAACATCATCCATAGGCTGGGCCATGTTTCCCAAACTCACACTGACTTAGTATGTGTGTGTGGGTGTGTATTAGTGTGGGCATGTGTTGGTGTCCAGCTAGTTTGTGTGACTTTGTAAGCCTGCAGAGAGAGTGAGAAACAAAGACAAAGAGAGCCTTAACTAAACGGCAACAAAGGAAATCAGCACTGTCGTCTCCTTTCGAAAAGGTTCTTGGATTACTTTGCTATACAAAGCATCAATCACACACAAACACACACATACACAAATTCCTCACACTATTTCTAGCATGTTATTCAGCTAGGTTTGCTCTCCACTGGGTATTTCTGCTGCCAGCAGTTTTTTTTTTTTTTGCTCCGCTCTAGATAGCCAGAAAAGAAAAAGGCAGGGTGAAAGAATAGAGCAGAAATTGGGATGGACAGAAGAGGAGGGAAAGCATGACAGAGGGAGACACAGGCCTCAGCATGTGTCCATCTGAGTTCGTCCAACCATGCTGAGAAAGAGAGAGAGCACTGGCTCCTGAACTCAGTTAATTGCCCCTGTCTGTCGTGCCCTTAGCTAGCCCTTTTTGTCCTAATAAAGCAGAATTCTCCACATTCTCTGACATCTTCTCCTTCCAGCTGGTGTAGTTATCCACACCCTAGAGGCTCCAGGCTGTCAAAACAACACATGCCTGGCTAACCCCCAACCCACTGGCCCCTGGCCACTGGGCCCACAATCGTACCACGACCGAGTCCTCATTCATACCCAAAATCTTTTGAAAAGTACAGCGCCACACTCTGAGCTACATGTCTACCTCACCTCACAACAACCCCACCAGTAAAAACACATGTAACTGTGTGAGAAGTGAAATTAAAATCAAGGTCTGTTGTGTTTTGTCTTTCAGTGCCAGACAACTCACCTGTTAATGTGACCGCGTTGCTAAATGGGACAGAGGTGCTCATGACGTGGGAAGGGCCTCCGGGAAAGCTGAATGGAGAGCTACAGGGCTACGTGGTGGAGTACAGCACGCCTGCCACACAGCAGGTCAGTCTGGGACACACACATCCTGACCTTGTTTCATTAGACAGGTATAAAGAAAATATTAAATCTGCTCGGTACTGACCGTCTCCCTCTTTTTCTTTGTTGACAGTTTGTTGTGGATACTGGATTGGACACTGAACTGTCAATCAATCTGTCTGTCCCCCTTTCCAATGTGTCTTTTCGAGTGTGTGCCTATACAGGGGCAGGGCAAGGACCCTGGACCCCCACACAGACTCTGACACTTATTGCTCCTGGTAAGTGACAAAAAGTGTCAAAAATGAATGATTGTTAATTATTATATAAGATTCCTTTTTTTGGAAAGCTGCATCATTTTGTAAACAATGGTCTGATTTTAGTTGATAACTTAAGTAGCATTTTTTTATGAACAATCATTTTTTAGGTGTCAGATGTTGTGTCATGTACAGTCTGCATGGATAAAGATGTTATTTTAGGTTTTACAAAACAAACTATGTTGTTTTTCTCCTGAAAGTATTGACATGAGCTCTGCTTTTTTTTGTTCCCACAGAAATGGAGGGATTTAGAGGTAAGTAATGCTCGTATGGAAACCTATAAATATGTTCTCCTGTAACCTTTCAGAGTGGCACGTAATGACACAGTGACAGTGGAAGTGAGCTCATGGTGTTTTTTCCACCACAAGACTTCTCTTTCTTATTCTCTGTCACCGGATTTCTCCATGAGCCTGAAAGTGCCTTCCTGTGTATCTCAGAAAAAAGGAAGGAATAGAAAAAAGAGAAGAGAGGATCTCAGAGAGACGGAAAAGGGGAAGAAGGGTGGGGGGTTGGGGGTGGGGGGGTGAATGGGGAGACGCATCATAAATATTTATAACAAGCAGGAACAGTGTAGCATCTCTGTTTGCTTAGTCTAATAGAGCCAGACAGACAATTCAAACAACAAGAATGGCAGATAAAGGAGAAAGTTGGGGGGGTGGGGTGGGGGGTGAATGGGAGGAAAAGTCAAAAACAGTGGATGGAGGTTGTGAGTGAATAACAGTAGGTTGGGGGGGGGTAGCTGTGAGTACATTTCAATGTGTGAGATGGGACAGCAAGAAGTAGATAAAGGAGAAAAAAACACGCATATTTCTGTTCATGCTCGACATCATCAGTGCATGAACTTTCCTTACAACTACTGTAAGAAGATAAAGTGAAGCGATTTTTTAAAGGACTGACATGTAAAGCATTTGCTCATGTAATAACAATGGAATAAAGAAGGGCAGTAAGGAGACTATCTGTGTATAAGTAAATTCATTAATAAATAATACAGGTTTACATTTTTTTCTTTTGCCTTCAGTTGATAAAAGTGTTTTTTTTTGTCACTTTTTGGTCTCCATAATGCTTTAAACTCTAACTTCACCTTCAAAGACCCATATGCCTAAACCCTCGTCTGTCTCTGTCCACACCTATCCCTCAGGTCCGTCATCGCCCCCAGCCTTTTCCTGGCACTGGTGGTATGTGGTGATGGCCATTGCCGGGGCTGTGTCCATAGCTGTGCTCATGGCTGTTTACGTGGCCAAGCTGCGGCGCAAGGAGACACGTTTTGGGTGTGTAGGCTGTTATTGCTCCGCGTGGGTGAAAGGGAGGGGACCCGATAGTGGTGCCAAACCAAAAATCTTCTTTTTTTTTTTCTCACTTCATTGACCTAGTTGCCTCGCTTCTGCGTGCATTTTGAAGCATTTGGATAGAACAGCAGACATCTGTTTTAAAAGAGTCATTCCTAAGAATTATGGAGCAATGCCATGTTTTCAGCTGTGTTTACGCAACTGCTGGAGTGACCTCTCATTGTGTTTTGCTCTGTTTTGTGCGATGTGTGTATGGATTCACAGAGAGGCGTTTGAACCCATGATGGAGAGCGGAGAGCTGGTGGTCAGGTACCGTGCTCGCCGCACCTACAGCCGCAGGACTACAGAAGCAACATGTGAGTTCCCCTCTCTGCCCATGCGTGTTTACGCAGAAAGATGACACTTCATATTTACACCTGGCTAAACCTGAAGTAGTAAACGATACATCTCTCAGCATGCCCAAACCTGCCTCTGTCCCCAGGATAGATAGCGATACAAAAGAAATAGCATAATTGCATCTCCTCTGATGCCCTGGGCCTGGATCCAGCAGTTCAGTGGAAGTAAATCTTTGACAGTCATGACACACAAATATTTTATTCTCTTCATTTCAAGACTGGACTGGTTTATTTGGTTGATTAAAGGCACAAACACAAACAATTAAGGGTTAATTCTCTTCCCACAGCTGTAAAAACAGCGCTGGAGTGTTCAGTCAGCTGACTCCACAACAACACTGTGCCCCTCATACTATATATTTTTATCTTTTTATAATCATATCAGTTACACATGCAGTGAATCCATTTAAGTTGAAGTTATGCCCCGTACAATCAGGCGTGAACGGCAGAGTTACATTTGACTTGACTGCATTACTGTGGGACAGGGAAGGTGAAATCAAGATATCAGCACACTGGAGAGGTTGAAGATTTGGGGATACAATTACATCAGGGAGAAAGTGACATGACGTACCTCTCTTATGAATGAGAATTCAAACTCAAGCAGCTTGTAACAACAGATGAGGGGATGCTTGACTGCTCTGAGTGGAGTGAAGAGGTCATTTCACCTTTGGGGAGTGTAAAGTGGAGGTTTCAAGTCTCGTCCAGGTGGAGCAACAACGTCACTGGTAGAAAACAAAGCAGTCGTTTGCAGAGGTTTGTTTGCTATCACCAGCCAGCAGTCCCTGTGAGTCTTCATGATTACAGACAGAGATGCGTACATGTAAACACAGCATGCGGACTCAAATTTCACACATCTGGGTCACATTCAAGCTCTGACATTGTCACTGATGTGTGCACAATATTTGTGTAGACCTCATACACAAGTCTCAGCTTGCCACAGCTACAAAGAGGCCCTGGGGAAAGGCAAAACTGTACAGAAAAAGCAAACCCCCCAAAAAAAAAACCTCATTCAGTGAGTAAAATGAGACCAAGAGAAAGAGATGTGGAGATAATGTGTACTGAATGGAAGAAGTGCGTTGGGAATAAAGGAAGGGGTCAGATTGGAGGGATTTGGCCGGGATTTAAGCTGCTGATATTGAACAGTTATTTTTGCCAATTCTCAGGACAAAGTCAAGCTCTTGGGCTCTGGTTATTGCATGGATGGCTGACTGTCACGCCAGTATGTGTTGGAACATGCCTATGGACTGAGCACATTGTGGTCCGACGCGTGGCAGATTGATAGTGTAGCAGCAGCTGGAGGGGGTTCTCAGAGCGTGTTGTTGCGTTGTCATATCCTGGCCCAGATGTGAAAACAGGGCTAATATCTGTAGTGCAACGTCTGCTCGGCACCACACAGCTCAATGACAGCCAGCTGGCCGGACGGAGTCAGGGATATTTAAACCAGCTTAATTCCTCTGACCTCAACTCCCTACCCCAACCTAGTCCCTTGCAGGATCACGTGGTCATGTGTCCCACACCTGAAAAATGATCTGAGAGGAGGAAGTTGCTCCATGTAGTTTTGGTTTTTGAATTTGTCTAATTCTGTATAGTTTCTGACTCTATATTCAGCTGTACAAGTTTGTCTTCTGGATTTGGTGGTTTTAGTTCAGGTTTTATTTGTTTCTTGTAAGATTTAGTTTTAGTGTAGAAAGACTTTTTGTAACATATGATAAGTGACATTTACTGTAAACTGGATTTTTGGAACACTTTGTGCATTAAGAACAATAGATAATTAACAAATTCATGTTAGGCCCACTTCAACTTCATTTATTTTTGGAATAACAAAAAGATGAAGGATGGAACATTTTATTTTGGTGAGTTTTACAAGTAGACAGGATGGATTTAGTTCATTTATTGTCTTATTTTCATTGTTATTCAAGCTGGCAGTGTTTATTAACACTTTGTTTTTGGCTCAGTGTTGTGCATTATGGGTTTTACAATCTGGCTGTTTTTCTCTCTTCTCTGTGTTGTTCATTAAAGCGCTTTGAGCTCCAAACACCATTAAAATTCCTTACTTTTTCCTCTTTAGTGAACAGTCTGGGCATCAGCGACGAGCTGAAGCAGAAGCTCCAAGACGTGATGGTGGACAGACATAAACTAACCCTGGGAAAGACCCTGGGAGAAGGTAACGCTTTGTTTTATCTTTTAAGTGTGTCAGTTAATATGTGCATTATCAGTAGAGGGAGTGCCTGAAAAACAGCAAGGTGAAAAGGGCATTTGTAAACACTCAGGGTTTATACATAGTACACAGTCAGGTCTTATCTATCATAGCACCAATGCTTGCCTTTCACTTATCTCATTTCTGTCGTACACTAATATTAAACATATAAGTGTAACAGTTTAAAAGTCGATAACCTCATAGCCATGTACTCTGTAACGACAGGAGACCAACCACTCTTAATGAGGGCATTTAATGTTCCTACGTTTAAAATTGCATCTAAACTGAGTGTTTGATTGTGTTCTGTCTTCAGGGGAGTTTGGCTCTGTGATGGAGGGGCTGCTGACTCAGGAGGAGTCTGTTCTCAAAGTTGCTGTGAAGACTATGAAGAGTGAGTAGACAGCAAAAGTACTCAGCAATCACCACAATGAATCCCTTCATCTTGGGAACACAGGCCATTTGATAGACAAGCCCCCCGGGTCAGAAATTAACAAGTGTCAGGGGCAAAAATCTCAGTGTTTGATCAGAAAACAGACAAAGACGCAGCTTGTAGAAAATATTGGCAGAACAAAATGATGACCCCACATTAACCGTAGTGCCAAAATAAAGACAATAAAAACTCCAAATTTAAGGGGGGAAAGATGAATTTTTATCGACTTAAAACAGTGCCACCCTCTTATGTGAGATTACTGTAGTGACAAAGTTAAAACAATCTGCTAACATGTATTAATTCATAGTAAGTTCAGGAGCCAAAACCTCTGAAATAAAAGTTCATTTTCTTACTCTGGCAACCGCACAACCTGCCAGTGTGTGCCATTAGCTACACAAAACCACATGGTCTCACCTCTGTACCGTCTCCTCTCCAGTTGCCATCTGTACCCGCTCAGAGATGGAAGATTTTCTTCGTGAGGCTGCCTGCATGAAAGAGTTTGACCACCCCAATGTCATGAGGCTTCTAGGTGAGTCAGAAATCATCCAGCTTTGGCATGTCAAGGGTCAGCTAATTCAAATAATGAAAAGACATGTTTTCTCACTTTCTTTGCCCAAGTGTTAAAAACAGTGGAGGTGAATACGTTTTAGTCTGTATAAACATGTAAACACTGTTCAAGTACATCAGGATAATCCACAAACTTCACTACAAACAGTTTTCATTGGAACTACTTTCTACCAAATAAATAGTCCCCATTTACTGTAGATTATCGAGAGTAACAGTGACACTGTCTCTGCAAAGACTAGACTAGTTTTTGGGTTGGAAGCAGAAATATTTGAGACAAATATCTTAAAAAATTGGCAAATAATATACATACTAAATACTAACTAAATACCACTAAAGCTAAGTGAAAACATATGTTTATTTTTTGTAATTTGGGTGAACTGACTTTTGTAATTATAGCCATAGTTCATTCTATAGTTCATTAGTCTTGAGATTATGAGTAAAACTCTGTTAATTTCTACATGTACAGAGCATGTACGTAGTCTATGTGTATAATACTGAGCTGGGTGTTTTTACAGGTGTGTGTCTGCAGACTGTGGAGAGTGAAGGTTACCCCTCCCCTGTGGTCATCCTGCCCTATATGAAACATGGAGATCTGCACAGCTATCTGCTGTACTCGAGGCTGGGAGACTGTCCTGTGGTTAGTCTGATTACAAACAATAAAAGCACAGAGTCAGCAACACTCGCGTGTGCACACGCAGGCAGTCACACACTTATGCACGCATACAGTCCAACACAATTTAACAGCTAAATGGGTTCAAGGTTTAGAAGTTCCCATGTCAGCAAAATGGTATCCAAAGGTCAACAAAGACGTAAAGTATTTGTTACAGTCCCCATCCACACCTTTCTGGCACCACGTACACTCTGAGATCATGAAAACACGCAGTATGTTGCTATCTGCAGTTATACTCATTAATGGATGGGATGGTTTTTTGGAATTGAGAACTGCTATACGCAGTAAGTCCCCGGAGAGCCGGGTTGAGAAACTCTAATCAAAACAAGATTCCTACAGAATGTTGAAACATCCATTGGTTCGGCAAACATTCAAAAACAGAGCAGTGTTGAACACTATTCTTCCCACAGGAGGAGGCTGTTTGTATCTGGAGGGGAGGGAGGGGAGGGAGCACTCAGTTCAGGCTGATTACAGGTCCTCAGAGAGAGGGACTCTAGTGCCCTCTACTGTGCAGAAAATAAATGTCAGCTGTGGTGGATGTGTGACTAAAACCTTCTTGTTCTGCAGTATCTCCCGTCTCAAATGCTGGTGAAGTTTATGACCGATATCGCCCGAGGGATGGAGTACCTCAGCAACAAAAATTTCATCCACAGAGACCTTGCTGCTCGCAACTGCATGTAAGCACAATCTCTGCTTCCACTTTTTACTCTCTTGGTTCCCGTATGTGCGATCACTTGTTCTTTCTCTTTCTATTGAGGAAGATCTTAAAAAGAACTAAAAGTAGACCAAGAGACTGCGCTCAAAGCAACATTTGGAAGAGCAGAAGCCCAAAAAAAGGCTAATGTGATGCAAGAAATATATAGTAGTCTTCCTTGGGCACTTAATTTAATATATATCATATCACATATCATATTTTATAAAGATGATCTTATACATTAAATGTAGACTCTTAATCTGACAACTAACTAGTAAATACTTCTACCTAAAAACTTTACTGCACTTGGATGAATGTACTTTTTTACTTTCTACCAATGTCTGAAGGCCCCTTTTCCAAACAATACAGCGCTGTAACACTTTGGTTTGTCTGCCTCAGGCTGAATGAGAACATGAATGTATGTGTGGCGGACTTTGGCCTCTCCAAGAAGATCTACAATGGAGACTACTACAGGCAGGGGCGGATCTCAAAGATGCCCGTCAAATGGATCGCTATCGAAAGCTTGGCTGATCGTGTCTACACCACCAAGAGTGACGTGGTTAGTTCACCTAGTGTGTGTTTGTGTGTGTTTGTGTGTGCTTGTATTAATGCCATTAATGAGCACAAATCTGTTGGACACTGTGGGGACTCACCGTTGGTTCCCACAAGGTTAACTATAACAAGACTTTTTGAGTATCAAAAGGCTTGAAAGTACTTGAAATGTGTATCTAAAAGTTACTGTGGATTATTATAGGTATCAAAACCTCCATAGAAACTTCTTAAAGCACCTTGAAACACAATGTACTACTCTACAGTACTATCTGTGCTATCTGTGTGCTCAGTGTTCAGTTAATTATAATCAATCATCATTTCACTACTATCACTACCTACATTACTTTACGCCAAGCCTTCAGAGCTTCAAACATAGTGACAGCACCAAAAGAAAGCAAGTAAGCAAGTGTTTAGAACCTACTGACTGTATGGATGGACAGTGGAGAAGTAAATTATGCAGCAGGAGTGGTTTGAGAAGTTAATGTCAAAGGGGTAGTCCAGAATTAGGCAAGTAGCTGTTAACGGTAAAGTTTAGGGTGAACTTCAAGGAAATGAATGCAAGTTTTACAATGTCATCACCAGTTACAAAAACAGAAGTATTTCAATATTCATCAAATATTTACTATGTTAACTCTTATTTTAATAGCCTTGTGAAGACAGAGATGTATTGAGCTTTATGTACTGTGCATACATGTCATTACCAACATCTGTGACAGATAGTTGTCAGTAACAGCCAATAATATCCCTGCACGTATGTATGAGGGGCCCTGTTTTCACACGCACATATGAAAGCATTCATGCATTGTAAGTGTTAAAAAGAATGTACATTCCTCAGTAAATCGTGCATAAAATAGGATGTCCAGAAAGCCTCGACAACCGTGGCTGTGTTATTTCCATTGCTAATGTTTGACCAGTGCAGATTCATGTTTGAGTAGTGTGTGTCTGCAAAACCTAAAGGAATTTGAAGTTCCTTAACCCTTCCCCTCTCTCCCACTACTATTTCCCTCTCATTTTTACTCCTCTTTCTCTCTCTGTCTCTCTCTTTCTCTCTCAGTGGTCGTTTGGAGTCACCATGTGGGAAATCGCCACACGGGGCCAGACTCCGTACCCCGGGGTCGAAAACAGCGAGATTTATGATTACTTGAGACAGGGAAACCGTCTCAAACAGCCTCCAGACTGTCTGGACTGCATGTGAGTGTCGGCTCCTTCACTGCACATTCCTCACAAAACACACTCAGCTGATGATGAAGTACCTTGGAAATATTTTGCCTCCTGATTAGAAGTACCTTCTTTCTGTAAACCAGTCAAGGCTAGAGGCTAAAAACAGTTCCAGTCTATCTGCTTTTCAAGGGATTCAGATGATACTTTGAATTTTTTCCATGTTTCTTAAAGATTCTGAGTTAAACACACTTATCGTTTCCAAAATATAGATTTTCCAAATTTTGAAAATCCTGCATCCTTTCTTATACTCAATTGAAGCAACAAAAATCTGAAATTTTTATGAATTCTAACACTTTGAAATTAATCTATTCACGTAATATTCTCCATTTACTTGATAAGTTAGTTTTTAAGAACCATGAAATGAAAGTAGTTACATAGAAAATGGCAGAGTAGTTAAGTATAAGAGTTAATTAAGAGGAATTTCACAGAAAAAAACTTCTCTTAATAATAATTAATCTTACTAACTTGAAAACTATCTATCTATTTAAACACATCTAAATATTAATTGAGAAAATCTCAGGAAGAAACTACTATAATTACTCACTGTAATGCCAAATTAACGCGCTATCATGAAGTAAACTATTTCAATTTTCTTCATCCTCTCCAGCTACTCTCTGATGTTCTCCTGCTGGCTACTGAGCCCGAAGGATCGCCCATCATTTGAGTCCCTGCGCTGCGAGCTGGAAAAGGCCCTTGAGGATCTGCCGGATCTCCAGGACCCAGACGAGATCTTGTACGTCAACATGGACGAGTCCTCCATGGAGCTCGGGGCCGTCGGCGGCCGCGACCCCATTGGGGGGCCATCTCCACTCTGCCTGAAGGGTCTGGACTCTGTGACCACTGTGGAGGTCCACCACCCCAACCGCTACGTCCTCTGTCCGCAACACGAGACCAACCGAGCCCTCTCTGACTCCATGGAGAGCCTGGACATGCCGGTGTCGTCCTCCACAGCCACGCTGCCTCTTCAGCCGTCCTGCCACTCCACTCCCAACCCCACCCCAGCTCCCACCCCAACTGTCGAGCTGCTGGAGGACAGGGAAGGGTCCAGGAAAATGCCCTGGCAGTGATGGCGTCACTTTAAAAAAAAAAAGGACAAGACTCATCACTGCCAAAGTGTGCCATCCTTTCAACCCAGTCCAAGAAAAAGATCCACCCTCTTGCTACTGACTGTAAGATACCTAACGCGCCCCTACGGACATATTTTGCACAACTACACTCATACCACACGCAGCCGAAGGCATTCCAAGGAAGTGAGGGATTGGGATTATTTCTTTTGTTAACTCCCTCTCTTCTAAAAAATGAGCACATTTCCAAGTGAGTGGTAATCATGTGATTAGTGTAGCAGGAGGAACACTGTTACCAACGATAGTTAGTGGGTGAAGTTTAGAGCACATGCTGTTGCCTACATACACTGCCACACAATCAGAGAAATTAATTCCCAGTCGTTATAGCAATAAAATACCAACTACCTGTGTACAGCAGAGTGTTCTCTCCTTCACGTGATTAAGCTAAAAAAAAAAAAAAAATCAAACGTCTCTGTGAAACCAGCTCAGACACTGCCAGGCTGAATCTACAACCAAACAAACTCAGGAGCTTGAACTTTTCCAGTAAGTAAGTGCTAACATAGAGGACTCACATCGGCTGAGGAAACTGTTCCTCTGATGGAGAAACCTCGCCCATCCCAATCCTCTGCTCCTGTGTAACTCAGAGCAAAAAATAACTTGGTGGGAAAGGAAAGGAAGAAGCAGCAGTGTCTCTTTCGCTGATCGGGTGAAGTAATGGCTGGCTTCTTCGAGGTTACATTGAGGTTTATGAAGGACAATAAGAAGATTTTTCTAGGTTAAAATCACCAACGTTGTAGTTTTTGTTGGGCTTTTTCTTTTAGCTTGAGCATCATCATTTTTGTACTTTGAATTGTGGTTTTGGTGTCACAGCTTCAAAGCATGGAAGGATTTCCTCTCACCACAGAAAATCATGTTATTCTTCAACTTCAGTTCACCTTACTTGAAGTTAGAAAACTTTACCCAGTAGCAACAGAATGAAATATGAATTAAAAAGTAATAATTACTGAAGAATTAAAAAGAGATTACCAAAATTTGCAAAGAAAATGAAATTTTCGGCTTTAGAGACTTTCGTGTTAAGCTTTTTCTTTTTAACGAGGGACCGCCATCGCATTAATCAAAACCTACAGTAGTTTGTGATAGCCTAATGTAGCGCTCTATCAACCTCTGCATCGTCTCCAGGGGTTGTACTGCTAGTTGTGCATGAAGCACCGTGAGCCGTTTACAGTTCACACAAGGCAACTTCCTCACTGCAAAACCTGATTCAACTAGTCTTTACATCTTTGTCATAACTCAGGAACCTGAGACTTTGCTCAACAAGGACAGAGGTACTGGTCAAATCAAGAGGGTACAAATAATCAGAAGTAGGCGGATGGACTGCGGGTAGGTACGGACATGACGGAGGTACCCAGAGCAAATGGCGGGATAAGCTCCTCACCTTTGCTTTTGGCTCAAGCACAGTGTTATTACACATTTTGTAATTTTTTTTAATTTTTTTTTATGCTGATTTTTGTATTTCTACAACTTTGCACTAATGTTTTTATATCAATGTATGTTTGTTTATAATTTGTATATCTTTTTACGCTTTTTCATTTTGGTGTTTGTAATTACTTTTATGGACACTCTCGGTCATCCTGCAGACGCCTCTCATGAAATCATTTCACACGTAACAACTTGTATATTCTTAAATGCAGAGAGCGAAAAGCCTGTGAAAAGCATCGCAGGGGCGTTGAACTCCATTCGAAGGAGCGTTTTCCGTAAATGAGCAAACGACCGCGAGACTGGAAAACATGACTAACCTCGTCATCTGACGTCATCCTGCCACTCTCTTATTCTGGGACATTTTTGTTTCTCGAGGTTTAGCTCTGTGCAGAAAGCTGAAAACTGAATGGACGTGTGGTCATCAAAACCTCTGCTTTGAAGAAATTTACCAGCTGCAACTTCACATCATGCATGCACTTATTTTTTATATATATAAATATATATATATATGTTTGCTTTAGTTTATAATTTTGTCATTGGAATGGACCATATTCCAACACACATTTTCGGAGAACATTTGTTTAAATGAGGCGCTGTGTTTCTCAGTTGTATACGTCAAAGGTACTTATATATGAAACAGTATACAGTGATATTTTATACCTGTAGCATTACTGAAATTCCTTGTCAAGTGTACATTTCTTGCAATACCTTTGGTACTGTATACTCAGTGAGTTTTGTGAACCACATGCTGAGACTGAGGCACTGGTTGTAATTTTGGTATTTGTGCAAATATTCCACCAATTTGAATGCAGATTTAAACACTTACTGTACTGTGCCAACCAATGTGTGTTTGGAACATTTTGGTCTTTAAAAGTTTTATTGGAGAAAACAAAGCTGATCTTTCAAGTAGATTCCTGCAGAAACTGAAAGTCCTTCTTCACGTCAGTTCAGCATTGAATCTCAAATGTACCTTCAGTGCCTTCAGAGAGCCAGTATTTTGCATTACAGTAGATATGTGTGTGTGATTCTCTCGGTGTGTTGAATTGGGAGAAGACTGTACTATAATTGCCTTTATATTGTCACTGTCATGATTTGTAAACACATTTTTTTTACAGTGCCTACAGTATTTTGTATAAGAAATAAATGTGTTCATCATGAGCGAGCTTTCTTCCCCTTGAGCTTCGATGTCATCCACATCCATCGTATGTGTTAGTGACATGTTTATTAATACAGTTAACCAACAACACAGCAGTTGATGAGGTAAGTTTTTGTATAATTATAATGATCACACAGCAGGAAGTTTAAAAACCTGAGATTAACAACACAGCGGCTGACATATCTTCTGAAAGATCACATAACAACTGAAAAAAACACATGAAATAGTTCCTATAGATGTGTGTGTGTATGTGGTCTCAGAAGTGGATGTAGGAGATCTGCACGTCTCCTTCTATCTCCAGCCTGTCAATCTCATTGAAGCCTTGCATGCGGTGGAAGAAGTCGAACAAGTGCTGCCCATTCACAAACACCTTAAACCTCTGGTTCCCACAGCGAATCGACATCTGAGAAACAAAGACAAATTCAAAATAATGAAGCAGAAATCACATATAAGGATTAAATTTAAAGACTGTGTGATAAATACTACTTACATCAAAGTACTGTCCCTCCATGAAGGGGTTCAAGCTGAGCTCTCTGTCCTCTTGGCCCCAGTTGCCTCCAATCATGCTGTTTCTCACCACAATCCCCTCCCTCACCCTGGGGTTCATGTGGAAGGCGATGTCTCGAGATCTGGTCACCACGAAGTTGATGCTCATTCTGCGGCACACAAACCCAGGGAAGGTGATACATGTCTGTCAGTGCTCATATACTCCACTAAAGTGATTTAAGCATCTCAAAAACACACACCTGTCTGCTCCATAGGGCACCATGCCTCTGATGACGATGGTCCTCTTAGGGAACATCCCTCCTGGGATTGAGTCGTAGTAGGGCACAGGCTTTAAAACACACAGCAAGACAAAATAAGATGGGAAACAAGACTAAAATCTATCTATAGCAACACTAGTGGCCCCTATGAGACTGAATTGCTCATTACACACAGAAAACAATTTGGAGACTTCAACATTCAAATAATTCTAAATTGTTTATCAGTACAATGGTCATTTTAAATCACAGACTCAGCTTTCAACAGTCTTAAAACTAATAATAATATTCCTGTTGTGGTTACAACATTGACATTTACAACAGTGGAATTAAAAGTGTATATTCTTATCCCTGTGTTAATTAATATCTTGGTATATGTCAAATAACAGTATATGTTTTAACAAATATATTTAATAATTAACTACACAACAGTTAAAATGATATTTATGTCAATATGTCTTTGTTTGTTTCTAATTGCTTAAATTTGGTCACTGTAAAAACAATACCAATCTGTCATTGTATTTTTAAAGTGTTTATCAAAGGTGAATAGTGTCGGCCTTAACGGTAGTTTGACTAATGTTGCTCTTCTTTACTTTGGCCACAAGAGGTCAGTGAACACAACACACCCAAGCGTCAAATAGAGCATACAAAGACTTCCGGTGAAGACCTTCAAAATAAAGCGATGTTATGATAAGATATAAGCTGCCTTACATTAACAAAAATGAGTGACCACTCAATTTCACCCTGTTGTTTAGAGTACAAGAAATGAGCTTGGAATACATTTTACTTACAGGGTTGTAGACTGGCTGCCCACCCATGCTCTATAATCAGATTTTAGAGATGTACAATTAAAATCAGATTACCAGAAGTAAGAAAATATAAAGTAAGTATAGAAATAATGTCAAATTTGTCGCGCAGTTTTCTCACCGGCAGGTTTGATCCTGGGAATCCTCCCTGACAGAAGAATAAAAAATACATGGATGTCATAGTTCACTTGGTACAGTCTACTGATTACATTCACACTTTTGTATCAGATCAATCAACAGTGTACAAGGAAAATAACTTATAACATTGTTTCATACCCCCATTCCACCTTCCATGCCTCCTGGATATCCACCCTGCAAAGAAGCACATATTATTGAATATTTAATATGATTTTGTTCTGTGATTAACTGTGAAATAAGTAGACATACGTCAGTATTTTTGCATGCAATAGAAACCAAATAAATTAGAGCACTGAAGAACAGAAAGTATTTATTCACCCCCATGCCGCCTCCTGGATATCCTCCCTGTTGAAAAATTGTGAACACGTGAAATATTGTTTGATGATGTATTAAAAATAAATAAAAATCATTGTCACGAACAAAGGTCTCTAAGTATACTTACTCCCATTCCTCCTCCCATTCCTCCTCCCTGACCACCTGGGTATCCTCCCTGACCACCTGGGTATTCTCCCTGACCACCTGGGTATCCTCCCTGACCACCTGGGTATCCTCCCTGGATATCAGTTGGAAAAAAGAAAATAAATCACTATATTTTCAGTAATAATTAAAGGAAACTGACTGTATTTAAAGACAACAACAAAAGTAACTATAAACATAAACATACCCCCATGCCGCCTCCTGGATATCCTCCCTGTTGAAAAGTGGTGAATATGTTAAATCCTGTAAAGTACTGCGCTGAATTAAACTTTTACACTTAAATTATGTATACTTACTCCCATTCCTCCTCCCATTCCTCCTCCCATTCCTCCTCCCATTCCACCCTGCAAAAAGACAGTCAGTGTAAAACTAAATATGCAACATGTCTAATTAACATAAACTACATAAAGTGTACAGAAATAAATAAATAATGGGTAATAATGAGGTAATACAGAGCTAATAACAGAATATTTCTTACATATATTGACAACATTTGGTAAATTAAACAGGTGTAATCGTCTCACAATGTTCAGGTTATATAAAGGTAGTAAGCTCTTGTGTGTACCTTTCTTATTTTCTACAAGTGAAACAGCAACAAAGGCAAAAATAAAACTATTAACACAGCTGCTGTCACTATGATATATTCACCTATAGTAACCTCTTAGCAGCCATTAGAAACGGACCACAACAAACACCCCAGCAACCGTTAATAACACCTGTAGGAGCTCTAAGACGTGGGTTTCATTGCTAAAGCTTGAAGAAATACATAATTTAAAAACATTTAAACCCAGCAAAACAAAGCAAGCACAAACATTTACCTCTATTTCTCACTCCTATTCCTCCAGGATACCTATTCATGTCACCTCTACCACCCTGACATGGAAGCAGAAAGCTTTGCCAATCAGTTCTTTACTATTTATTATTTAAAAGTGTTTTTAATTTCTTTCCCCCTAGCAAAAGCCCAAAGCATTAAGCTGAACGCTTCAGGGACTGGAAGTCTCACCCCTATGACATTAATCGTCTGGATGGAAACATCTCCTGCGATCTGCATTGCACGAACTCTTTCCGCAGGCATACGGTGAGGGAAGGAGAAGAAGTCATTCCCATTGACTTTGATCTGCAACAGGATAATGTAAAATGTTAAGCACAGTGTGCCGTGGTATATGCTGTCAGTATAATCCAATAATGAGAAATTATGTAGAATAAATCTGTTTAAGAGGTAAAAACCTAAACAAGGTGCAGCTCATTGAAAGAGTTTACTTTAACGCACTCTTTAGTATTTATATTCACTATATCAGCATTTAATAAATGGTATATAATGGTATGTAATGTATAAATATAATTGATATGGTAAATATAGTAAAACACAGTCCCAATAATATAAAATGTGTTAATTTACATTAAATTAAATTAAATGTGCATTAATAAACACTTTATTAATACAACCTTATTTCTGCTTACTTTTGACAGTGTGATATAAACCATTTAATTAAATGTTTAAATAGTGCTTGTGAATGCTAAGTAAAGTGTTTTACCCACATAACATAGTTTTAAGTTTGTGTGGACGTCTGGTTAGTCTGACCTGGTAGCCTTGTGAAGTGACCATGATGACCATTTCAAAGGCCTGGCCTTTGCTGAACGGCATATCACGAATCTTCTCCTCTGACCCCCAGGATCCATTCTCACAAGTGTTGAAGACCACCTTGTCCCAGCCGTCGAAGCGAGGGTTGAAGTGGAGGGCGATGTCGCTGGACTCTGACTCTCCACAGAGCAGGTTGACAAAGAACCTGCCAGAAGAAAGAGCAGGTGAAGCAGAGACATTACGGAGTGACTGACTAAAAGTTAGTATAGTGTTAGAAAAACAGAAGAAATGCAAACAGAAAAGGTGGGACCAACTGAGGGTTGTGTGAAACAAAATCTTTCCCCACAAAGAAGCTACAGATCTCCCAGTACAGTCAGGAATGTGCAGTGTTTACTCTCAATGTTAATGGTCTGTTAAAGTACCATTGGCCACTTAGATATGACTATTTTGAAAAGGGTAGGGACACGTGATTAATGTGTGTTTCAAGTCTGCTGTGATATGAATCAATGCAAAGAAACCTGCTCCACCCAGATTACACAAGCTGTTCCCTATATATATAAAATAATATAACACAATCATGCTTATAGTGGAGCTTCAGGTTGTTGTTGTTTTTTTGTCACACTACAGTTTTTCAAGATGAAGAATTAATTTTATGCTAAAAATGTACAATTACAGATTTATGCTCACCTGGTAATGTCCTCAGGAATGGACCCCTGGAGGTAGATGGACGTCCCCTCCCTCAGGCCTCCATAAATGGGCCCCAGATAGGGAATTCTCTGTACAGTGCACAAAATAATACTCAATCCTTTACTTAAGTAAATTAAGTAGCAAATAAAGTATAATAATAAAAGTACTGCAGGAACTGTTGTGTTATATTAGCCAATTATAAATCACATTGTTAGATTGCATTTATAAGTTAGTATTGTACTGTTATAGTTAGTTGAGGTGGAGCTAGTTTTAACTACAATATACTGAGTTTGTTTAGTCCAGTGGTTCCCAACTGAGGGTGAAAGGTTCACATAAAACAGCGTAGTGTCATTTTTAACCTCATTATATGTCGTTTAAGTCTCTGAAAAGTCTGAAATGTTGTAACTATAGCTGCCAGTTAAATGTAGTGAAGTAAAAAGTACAACATTTCCCTCTGATATGTAGTTGGGTGCAAGTAAAGTACATTAAACTTGTACTTTTGACAGCTCTAAAGCAATAATATTATATTTCACCACTGACAGTAAATCAGTGAATCACAGTCAGTGTGGTTTCAAGGGGAATTATTCAGAGACGACATAGAAGTTGGTGTCACGGTGGTTTAATTTCATCATTTACTATCCTTGGATACCTGCTGTAATTTCCTCAGAGGTTTCTTCCTTTGGATAATTGATTATGTTTTTTTAAAACATGAGTACATAACAGACCGTTTCTACATCTTTTTGGTTTGTACCTTCCTTATAGTACATACTGTCCTAACGTAGTGAGATGTCTCACCAACAATACTCATATTACAAAGAGTTTCTACAGCAACCAGCGACGACTAATCAGAGTTTTCATAAACCAATAAGCCCACAGTCCAATGCAGAATCCTTATAATAACTCTTTATACTGTCATTACTGTGGACAAACACCTCAGAAATGAGCCTGCACGAAAGAGGATGTATTTAAAATATTGTTTACATGCATATAATAACTAATCTACTGGTCATATTGTTCTCCAGTGTGTAACAGAAGCCTGACACAAGCCTGGACTCTTTTGTCTGTCATACTAACAGACTTTTAGTTCTACTTTTCCCCACTGGCGATTAAATCTTAATCCTTTGCATTAGTGCACTGCATTACCCGTCAAGCCTTCCGTACAGGGACAATCATACCCTTAAAAATGAAGCAGCAGATACTTACAGGGCCGTAGATTGGCTGATAGCCAGGAGGAGCTACAAAGGTCATGGCAGCAGTGAGAGAGACGGACGGACAGAATCAGGAAGGTTTCGTCAGGAGCTGATCTCTGCTGGATGCCTCGTTTTATACAAATGATGAGGGAGTGGCAGAGCAGGGTAGCAAACCCATGTCTGCATCGCCATATTTACTTTAGAGGCACACGATGCAAATTTACCTTTGACCCAGTAGAGGAGTGGTACATTACAACAAAAGACAGAGTGTGTGTGTGTGTGTGCTTATGTGTGTGAGTGGCAGGTGCAAAAAAGAATACCAACATGACTGAAAACTGTAGCAGCAACAAATATCCCTTTTATACAGCGGTAGAGAAGGTATTCAGGTGTTTTTACAGGTGTTCTACTTACAGTAAAAGTAGCAATGCTGCAATATAAAAACACTATCGAAATCAAGCTAAATCAAAGCTAAATAAAGTAATAAAACTACGCACAATGCAGGAAATAGTTTTACACTATTATAGAGTATATTATTGTATAATTATTACTGATATGTAACCTTTAATATGTATAGTATGAGAAGCATTTTACTATTGTAAACTGTAACTGTTTACTCACCTTGTTTCCCCTCATTGATTGATACAGTACAGAGGTGGATAAACTTAATTTACTTGGGTTTATCCTCCATAGTGCAGCCTATTGCCGAGTAGCTTAATATATATATATATAACAGCAACATTTTTAGGATCATTGTAAGTTTTGTGTGTAAAATCTCAATTTGTAAAGTAGGTTACAATATTTTACTGTACAACAGTATATGAGTAAACGTGTTCTTTACTGTCTTTACAAGTTGCTTTTCACCCCTGCTTTTATATTATTTCTACAGTACATTATTATGACTTTAGAACTCTTCCTTTAGCTTACACAGTGAACAAAACTGGTATTATACAACCTAAACATGTAATTTATGCATTGTCTTTCAACAAACTTTGAATTTCTCAAAGTGGAGCTTTGTTTAGGTGACACAATCTCTGTTCAGCACATTAAATCAGTAATCAGAAATACGTTTTTATTACCCTGAGATGAATTGTACAAGGGTGTATTCATAAAATATCCAACCGAGCCTGCCAACCTAAGGCAAACAGAAACTTAAGTAACACTTATCTACAACTCAGGTAAGCATACATACAGCAACTTTACAAATGTACTTCATGGAGGCAGTAGGTTATTCCAGCATTACAAAGTAAACATGTATGCATGTACATGCACACATACACGTAATCTTTTAGAGAACAAAGACTGTCATAGTGATACATGGGTGTTTCCTGTAAAGTTTAAAACACAGCAATGCACTTTTGATGTTTGATTAAGATAAAGCTCTGCCACCATGAGGATATGCAGAGTTCAATCATCACTTACTTCATTTTACTTAAAACTGCTTCTTTAAGCTTTCTGCATTGCATATATTATTGTTTTAATGTAAATGTATAGATGTCCTTCAGCACATTTATGGAGATATTCAGGGACAGGTCATTGTCTAAGGGTCATCACTAACGGTATTTAAATGTATGCAAACTAAGGGGCAACTGTGGTTCAGACGGTAGAGCGGGTTGTTTGTTAATTGGAAGGTTGGTGGGTTGATCCCTGACTCCTCCTGCTGCATGTCAAAGTGTCCTTGAACCCCAAATTGTTCCCGATGCTGTAAATGTATGTGAATTAATTTGTTTTGGATCTGATGAGTGCATGAATGTGGCCTGTAGTGTAAATTAGAAAGGTAACACACATAAGTTTTTACATCTGTACTTATAATGACCTTTAGACCTAAATAAACCTTAAACCTAATTATTTACAACGCTTTGAGGAAACAAGTACTGGATTTTCTCAAAAATTTCTTCACACTTGATTTCAAAACCTAATCCTCATAGAAATAGAAGAGCAAGAGCACGCACACACACACACACACACACACACACACACACACACACACACACATACACACACACACATACAGTAAACACACACACAAGCTGATATGTAAATGAGGACACATGTTCTCGATCTCCTTAAAATAATCTGTTTATTCTGTATTGAAACACAGGGTTCAGTCAGAGGACACTCAGTCAGGTGGAAAGTAGTGATCTCCATTCAGCTCCATACCATCAACTGCCTCTGTGTGGACCACAGTAGCAAATAAACACTTCAGAGTCGTCAGCAAACAAAATACTGCTCTGCCTCTGACAAAGTGAGTCATAACATTAAATACATGATGGAGAGTTTGTTAGTTTGTATGTGATCTGTAGGAGGCATAGTGAGACAGAACTGTCCGAGATCAACGCATCACACATGACTTTCTTGATTGAGAAAAATAACCGATATGCTGGATTCCTAAAAATATCTATCATAAAAACCTAACTAGCAAAAACAAAAGCTAATTTTCTCTTCTGACTGCAAACTGGGCATTTACTTCAGTGTGAGACCAAATCTCTTCACCATTGTGGATTTCACAAACAGGACACAGGACATGTTCATGTCCGACAAAGTAGCATGATCGTTTAAATTCTTCAAAGCCCTAAAGAAAAATAAATATATGTATCTATGATTTATGTAAAATATGTCTTTTCATCAAAAGGCCTCTACCCAGCCTAGACGTGACTCAGTTATACAGATGACACATTGGCCAAAATGTATACATTAAATACATTCATTACTTATTTTAATGCACTGACAAAAACTTATTTGTGCATAAAGTGTCATAAAACAGACTGTTGGCCAGAAATACAGACGGGCTAAAACGGTCGTCTTCAGAAGATTTGATCTGCATATAAACAACAAATAAATAACCTTGGCATCCTCCTATACTGTATGTGTGTATATCATCACTATCTTATATGGCACAGAGACACCAGTGGAGATAAGGGACCACATACATCCAGGGACGCGTTGTAAGACTTCAGAGTGCAAACTGGGTTTGTCTATACAGCTGATTCACACTGGTATATGTCACGTACGCAGATGACACTCATACGTTTATTATCTTGGCAAGTCAGTCCAACAAGAGTTTCCACTCATGCTAGCTTGTTTGAAGATGAGTTTCTAAGTCTTGAGAGAGGAAGAAAGGGAGTGAGAGGGGTCCTAAAATGTTCACTGCTCCCTCAAGGATCTCAGAGATCCGACTGTGAGCTGCTGAATCATTTCCTTTAAAAACGTGCTCTCACTGAAACACCAGAAATCAGAAATGAAATATCAAATGGCAGCAGCCACATACAAAAAATCCCCAACCTTACAAACAATATAAATAAAACATATCCACTCTAATCTCAAATAAAAGTATTAAAGCTAAAAATCTAAACTATCTGATCGCTAAAGCAGTGACATTGCTATAGGCACTATAACGTTTACAGCAGTAGCGACTGAAAGAGCCCGTTGTGTATAAACGCATTGATATGCAAGGTAATCTATGTATATTTTACACAAAAAAGGCCATGTAGTGTATTCATAGTGGAATAAGAAGGCCCCTGGCTTCTCTTTATGCCTCTCTGATATTATTTCTCTGCTTTTCTCAAATCTATTCCATCAACATTCTGCTGCAGGTGATACACTAGTGCAGTCAAAGTGTGCATAGCTTCAACAGAGGAGAGAAATGTGCAGACAAGGGACAACACTAAGACATAAACGTGTTCTATCTCTAAATTTCTAATCCTTCCTCTCTCTCTGAATTTCTCCTCCTCTCTCCTCTCCTCTCTTTCTCCTTCAGACGAACATTCACGATGCAGGACATTATCCGAGCTGATCCTCATACTGCTTCCTGAAGCAGTCTCCAGCTGGGAAGAAGTCCCAGCATCGCTCCTGGTACTGCTTCCACACATACGACTCCTGAAACCCAGAGCGAAATATGTTACAACAATATGTTACAACAACATACAACATTATGAAGACAAAAACAACCAAGGAGGGCTGCACCTTTATTTTACGTACCTTCCTTATATATCTTAAATGTATATATGTTTACTGACCTGTCCTGTGTGTTCTGTTTCATCTTTATTGATGAGGTACATCAGGAAGAACCTTAAAGAGAAAAGGGAAATGCAAATACAGAAATATTACGCAACATAACAGTATTCATGAGGACCAGATGGTTAAATAATCTATTTAATAACTGAACATTCACACTGAAAATATCTGTCATACTGTTTTCCTCCTCAAGTCCAATTACTAAATAATGAAAGGTTTCAAGGCAATCTGGAACTTTGGATAATTACTCTAAACATAAAAATTTAACAGATACTGAATTGACACATCTGCACTAACTTACATGTAGTTGGCTAAGTTATGTTCTTCCAAGGTGTGCGTCTCGAAGCCATGCGGCGTTGTGTCAAAGTAGTCACTTCCTATTCCGCAGATGAAACATTTTGTCTGGAGGGAGAAAGGACAGTTTAGATTAAACACGATCTTACCTTGTAACTGAAGGAGAATTGAAGGTGGATTAAGAAAAGTGACCAGTTAAATCCCTTTGAAACTCATTATCTTACCTCCATGTCCTCTCTGACCTGCTCCTGCTGGTCTCTCAGCTCTCCAAAGGCATCAATGATCAGACCTGACAGACAGACAGCATTTCTTACAAGTTTGAAGATCAGAGTTCTTCTCAACAAAGTTGTTGCTTGTCCTGACCTGGCAGGTCAGGAATTCAAAACTGCAAACTTCTAGTCACAAAACTTATTTTTTTACCTTTAAAACACTGCTCTATTCCCTATATGTCCCTGTTTTTACCCAGAGTTTCAGCCTTGTTCACTCAGGCTTTCATAGCTTCAAATCATAACACAAACACAGAAGAATGGTATAACATTTTGTCGCTACAAGGTCTCAGTGTTCAGCTTGCCTCCATCCAAAACCGTTTTTATAAATGAACTGATGAGAATGAGTCTGTGGGTTCTTCGCTACAATTACAATTACTATTTCACATTACTGGTGCAATCTGCATCCTGTGCATTGCTCTCAGTGTCAGAGGTAATTGTATTAGTGTGAATATGACAGATAATTAAACGTAAACTCTTTATTTGTACTTCTCCGCCACATTTTGCAACACATTAACATGGAAGTAGTATCAGACGTAAAAGTGCAGACAAAATCTGACACACCCTACTTTAAATTA